GGGCTTCCTTAGAACTCGGCAGGAATGTGGAACCAGATCTGTGCTGGAATTTACCAAAAGACTATCCTATTTCCAGCTATGTCTATGTAGAAGTAAGAGGAATCAGGTAGGTAAATATTAATGTATTTTAGACATCTACTGTAGAAACTGAAAGAGGTTTAAGATCCATATCCTAATAAACAATGAAATCATACTGAAGGGGAAGAGAAGAACTTAAGGAATGCTGGAAATACAATATTTTGACTGAAAATTGTAAGGCTAAAAGTAAAAGTACTTCCTGATTCTCCTACTCCACCTCCCAGTGTTGAGAACATAGGTGTGCCCTGTCAGTCATACCCAGTTCCCCATCACACTCAGCTCTTGGATTAGCAATTCTCAACCGACATTTACAGCAGCATAGAACCAAAGTATAAGTCAACAGAATGTAGACAAATGAGCCAGCTTTCTTATTGTCAGGGGAAAGTACTACAAATGTAGTCGGGGGGGGGGGGACCTGGACTACATCAAAAATGTCATTATGAATTCACAATGACAATAAAATTCAGACAGTTCAAATATAAATTACAGATAGGGGAAGGGGAGGGATAACATGACCCCCATCCCTGTACTGTTGTCCTGGAATTAGAGGGATTGGATTATGGAAAAATACATACACACACACACACACACACACACACACACACACACACATATATGAGGGAAAGAGAGGGGGGAGGAGAGGACAGACAGACAGACATAAACAGGAAGCATATTTCTTACCTCTATGTGCTAAGAAGGTATAAAGACAATGGCCCTCCAGAAGCAGTGTGCACAGTATTCATAATTTGTTTCTAAAGATCATTCTCCCACAAAAGGAACAGGATTCTATGCACAAGTGTTGACTACAGCACTATGGCAGAGAAAATACAAGTGAACCTGGAGTCTTGTGGTGCCATTAAAAATGTCTGAAAAAGAATGGATGTGTGCTCAAAAGGTAGAGAAGGCAACCTGAAAGCTATTTCAAAAGCCAAAGATGGGACACTTTAAGCTACAAAATACACAACAGTATAACCCAGAGAAAAATCAAAATCAATGAGTCCATATTGAATAAAATCAATAATTACACAAACCAACAAGCAAATAAGTGAAGGAAGGGCCAGTTATTTCTTGTAGAATTTAAGTCAATGCATACAGGAGAAACTGGGATGACACAAAACCAGTACTAGGTAAATAGCACACTAACAGGACTGCAGACAAGATCCACCATGAGATGCTCCAACTGCTGAGTGACAGTGGAAAACCAGGACATTCACATGGGTTCACAGTCTCTCCTGTCAATTAGGAAAAGATACTGGTGACTAACGGAGAAGCTCAGGAGGCACATGTTGGATTAAGTGCTCAACAGTTACCTACTGCTTGCCATGTAGGGAAAGGCACATATCACTCCTCCTGGTATTCCTACTGAAAATCTCATTCCAAGCAAGAGACACCATGAGAAACCCTAAATTAAGAAAGATGTTACAAAATGTCTAACCAGTTCTTTTAAACAGAACACCAAAGCAAGCAAGCAAGCAAGCAAGCAAGCAAACAAACAAACAGAACAAGTTTATAAGTGCAAGAAAAGGCCAAAGATCTGTCACATAATGAGGAAACTAAAAAAACAAAAGCGAGTTACCGGTTCCCAGGACTCATCCTGGGATAGGGAAAGGGCGTGAGTGGAAACATGAGTGATGTTATAACATGGTCTCTCTCAGTGATAACAATTTCTTAGATTGATCACAAGCCTTGCTCAACACTGGAAAGACCAGTAACAGGGATTTAAAACCTGTCTAGATAATTTTTTTAAAAGATTTATTTATTTATTATATATGAATACACTGTAGCTGTCTTCAGACACACCAGAAGAGGGCATCAGATCTCATTACAGATGGTTGTGAGCCACCATGTGGTTGCTGGGATTTGAACTCAGGACCTCTGGAAGTGCAGTCAGTGCTCTTAACCACTGAGCCATCTCTCCAGCCCTAGATAATTTTTATATGTATTCTGAACACCAAAAGCAACCATGAAAATAGAACCTTAAATATAATAATGTATGAGCAAAAAACCACAAGTGTAATCTGAGGTAAAAGAAGGACGATTCAAATATTGTCACTTTTCTAATACATTGACATGTCCTTTTCAAAGTAACCAGATTTAGAGGGGCTACTACTGTTGCTACCATTAACTCTGCAATTCTATCTAAAACATTCAGTATATCTACAATACATAGGATTTTTACCATAGAATAGAATCCACTGCAATTTTTAAATTTTTAGGAAATACATATCTTACTTCTGCCTGGTTGCTAAGCTATCATGGCATGCTCTTCTTGTGCCTTGCCAAGATGCCCATGAACATAAATTCTCTCCCTATTTTCTTTTATTATTTTATGAGTGTATATCTGTCTTAGAATTTCGATTGCTGTGCAGACACCATCATGACCAAGGCAACTCTTAGAAATGTAAACATTTAATCGGTTCTGGCTTACAGTTTCAGAGGTTTAGTTCATTATCATCATGGCAGGAAGCATGGCAGCATCCAGGCAGACATGGTGCTGGAGGAGCCAAGAGTTCTACATCTTAATCCAAAAGCAGCCAGGAAATGACTGTCTTCCCACAGGCAGCTAAGAGAGACTATCTCTGGCAGACAGCCAGGAGGCAGCGACTCTTTTCCACACTCCGAGAGGCCTGACCAGAGGAGGCCTTAAAGCCCACCTACATACTTCCTCCAAAAAGGCCATACCTATTCAAACAAGGCTACAAGCCCTAATAGTGCCATTCCCATGGGCCAAGCATATTGAAACCACCACAATGTCTATAAACCACTTACATGCCTGATGCCTGTGAAGCGTAGAAATGGGTGTGGGATCCCCTGGAACTAGAGTTACAGAGTTATGCACCACCATGTGGGTGCTGAGGATTGAAGTTGGTCCTCTGGTAGAGCAGTCCATGCTGTTAAATACTGAACCCATCTCTCTAGCCCTCTGTGTGTGTGTGTGTGTGTGTGTGTGTGTGTGTGTGTGTGTGTGTAGTGCTCTGGCTGTCCTAGAATTCAATATGTAAACCAGCCTGACCTCATACTCATGGATTCACCTTCCTCTGCTACCCAGGTGTTGGGATTAAAGGTGCCACCACCGCCCGGCAATTTTCTACTTTTTTATTAGGAATCTTTACTGTTGTTATAGAAACACTCACTAATTACACATATCTCTTGAAGGATACAAAATCTTAGAGTTCTTGTTAAGTCTTTCTCAAAATATTAATCCAAACCCTTTACATTTCCTTCTACTTCTCAAACTAAAACTGATTAAAATTTTAATATTGTGATAATGATAACTGCCTACCCATCAGTCAAGGATATCATCATGAAATATGTCCATCTTTTAATAACTCATGTTGACTACCTTTTCCCTTTTATCTCAGTTGTCCTATCGAACTCCCATTCCTGTTACTGATTTCCAGGGCCTTTATAAGTCAATTCCTACATTTGTCAACCCCCTTAGTATCGCCCTACACTCTTTTTTCTCTTGTTAGATCCAGTCACTTATGTATTCACTCTATTAACTTTCATGAATTTTAGCAATGCCTAAGGCCCTAGTGTAGGTGTTGTGGGGGATAGAAAATATACATATTTATCTTTTCTCATCCAATGATCTCATTTACAAATCTGCCAAGAAATTCATTTTATATAAAATGTTATAATCCCTAATTCATATTTTGATCAACTGCCTTTCATTGAAAAAGCTGCTTAAATAACCTAAGAAGTTGTTATGGTTTGAATCTGAAATGTCCCTTGAGGCTCATGTTTTGCATGTTTGGTTCATAGCAGGTGGTGCTATTTTGGGAAATCCTAGAAATTTTGGGGGTGTGGGCACAGATGGAGAAATGTCAGTAAGGGTAGGATGTTGAGGGTACATCTCTGACCACTTTCTAGTTGGCTCTGTCTCCTGTGTGCTGGGCTGTGAACACCTGTCTTCTACCAAATGCTCCTGCCGCCAGGATGTTCTATTAGTGCCTGGGGTCATGAACTGAGCCCTCTGATACCATCATCCAAAATGAAGCTTCCTTTCACAGTCTCTTCTTCTGTCAGATATTTTGGTAACAGCAATTCTAAAGAAACTGGTGTGGAGCATATGCATTTGTCAACATAAAGTTAGTCAGTTATGGCTGCAAAAGATTTAAGTAACATTCCTCAAATGAATAATTCAACCATCTACTATGCTATCTCTTTGGAAATAAAAATAAAAATCTAAAAGCTTTAGAAAAATCTTTAGTTATTGTTTCTATAAAAGTTCCTCTAAATAAAGTAAAAAAAAAAAAAAAGTAGATAGGTCATTAGCAAGAGAAGAAGAAGAAGCATGAGTTATCATCATTTGGATTTCAGATACCAGAAGACAGTGACTTGTTCTTACGCTGTCGACATAACCCAAGCAGGACTGTCCTTGACACTGTCAAAGCAGAAGCCCAGTGTTCAAATACCATCAAAGAGCAGAGTTAAAAGCTATTCTAAAGAAATTATTCAGAAGGAACCCTCAGCACGGTCTCAGTTTCCTGGAGACTCACCCACACCACCACAGTGTGGAAGAACAACTCCATCAGGGACATGATGCACTGACCTGTAACCAGGCCAGCAGGCAGCAAGGAACAAACGCTGGGGCTGATTTACACAGTCAAGATAGATTCTCATGAACTCTCTCTCTCTGTTTGTCTCTCTCTCTCTCTCCCTCTCTCCTTTCCTCTCTTCATCTCTCCCTCCCCCTTACTTTTTGAGATATGGTCTTACCACATAGCACCAACTACACTTGAATTCACTATGTAGCCAAAGCTGGCCTCAAACTTGTGGTGATCCTTCTGCCTCAGCCTCACATGACACAGGCTGACAGGTGTGACCCACCACACCTAGTGTACTTCACTCCATCTCTGATGGAGCATCTTGTTATTCATGCTACAGGATGCTGAATGGAGAGAACTGTTAACTCTCACCTGCTGATTTTCCTCGAAAGTCCGGATTAATATCTCCCTCAGTTTTCTCTTCCTTTCTTTTGCAATTTTTTCCTCACCCAGATGTATGTGAGTACTTTCCATCATTTTCCCATCTCGATTCCTCTGAGAAATTTCTTCTTGCCTTTTCTTTTCTCTATTAGTAACAATTTAAAAATAGTTATTAGATTTAAGAATGAGTAGTTATAGCCTACTACATTGGAATGAATATATAAATTACGTACTTTGACAAACAGCCCAGTAGATGCTTTAATGAAGCTTTTTTTGTTTTGTTTTGTTTGTTTGTTTGTTTTTGGTTTTTTTGTTGTTGTTTTTTCGAGACAGGGTTTCTCTGTGTAGCCCTGGCTGCCCTGGAACTCACTCTGTAGACCAGGCTGGCTGGCCTTGAACTCAGAAATCCACCTGCCTCTGCCTCCCAAGTGCTGGGATTAAAGGCGTGTGCCACCATTGCCCGACTTAATGAAGCATTTTTATTGATATTACTACTTATTATACCTTGATCAAAATTTCTCAATATGTATAAAGTTTTCTTTCTTTCTCTCTGTGTGTATACTCTTACACACATACACACAAAATGTGAGATACAGAGTCACACACACACATACACACAGAGCACAGAGAGAGAGAGAGAGAGAGAGAGAGAGAGAGAGAGAGAGAGAAGATATACATGTGCCACAATATTTGTGTGAGTCAGAGAACAACTTTTGAAAATTGGTTCTCTTCCACCTTGTTTTGAAGCAGGGTCTCTCTTGTTTTTGCCACTGCACTTCTTAGTTAGGCTATCCATCCTGCCTTTGCTACCCATCCTGCTGAAGGAGTGCTAAGAGTAGAAAAGACCTGGATTAGTTTTTTCTATCAAATACTATAAACCTTGTGTTTGGGACAAGGAATAAGTCTTTCTATCTCTCCCATCTTATGAGACTTTTATATTGCAATGTTGCAAATGTTTTAATCCTTCCTACCTTAGTTTACATCCACTCTATTCTAGGAATTTGATGGCCTGGACCAGTGATCCTGTTCCCTAAACAGCAACTCTTTTTCCTCCTCTTTCATACCAATATTCTTCACACTAACCATCTGAAAAAGACTGGGAGGCTGGACCACAGACAATGGGGACAAGACACAGCACCACCTGAGCTAGAACAAAATTCAAATGTACTTCCTGTTCAGTGAGGTCACTCTTCCAAGCAGATCCTTTTTTTTGAGTAAGAGTAAGGTCTGTCTTGCCTAGATACTTCAATTGGCATGGTAGTCTCTTTCTTTACAAACCAGAACAACTTCTAACAGCACCAGGCTTTTTAGTTGGTCCTGGAGATTGGAACTCAGGTTGTCAGGCTTGTGAAAGACGCACCAGGCTGTCCTTGAACTCCTGATCCTCCTATCTCCTCTTTCCAAATAGGGAATGACAATCACGTGCCACTACTTTTCTGTGGTGCTGGGGACCAAGCCCAGGGTTTTGTTTATGTTAGGCAAGCACTCTACCAACTGAACTATAACCCCAGCTCCAAGACTGCCTTTTTCTTGGCACTAATTACAGATATATGTACACAGAGCATATACTATTAATGATGTGGAACAAACCATGAGGAATCAGCTATGAAAGCTTGGGTAGTCAGTCTCCTAGGCTTTCAGGAGCTTTACAGTTTAGAAATTCAAGTAAAAAAGAATCTAGAATACACACATGATGTCATTCATTTTTACTTATATAGGAGGCAGTAATAATGTCTTATTACTGGTGATAGTAGACTGGGTTAAGGTTGATTATTTAGTGTTAATCAACTGTTTGACTTTCAAAGTTATTTTTATTTATGTTCCTGTGTGAATGTATACCACATGTGAGCAGGCGGTACTAAGTCCTCTGGAGCTCAGTTGTAGTGGTGGGGAAGCATCTCAGTGAGGGTACTGGGAACTGAACTCCAGTCTACTGAAGACCAAAAACTACACTCTCTCTAGCCTCACAGCTATTGGTGTTTTCTTCTTGTAATTAACACATCTCTTTAAGGAAATACTTTATGAAAGAAAGCAGATTCAGGATAACTTACAAATCAGACAAAAGCACAAGCCCTATCAACATGTCATGGGGGCATGAGATTAGTACAGCTCTAGGACTTAGGATGGAACTCAGTGACAGACTGCAAACACAAGCTCTTGGTGAGACTGCAAGAACCACAAGCCAATAAATAAACACATAATACAGTTGTAGCACAGAGATCTGAATTTTAAAATAACACACATCATGAAAGTCCTATCTGATTAACTGTGAATACTGGAGAGGTAGAAGAGCCATTCATATTTCCACACAGAAATAAACATTAATGTCAATCCTGCTTCATTGTATAATCACTGTCTATTAATTTTGTAATATTTATTATTTATTACTATTAATAATGCTATTTTAGTTATCACGGTATAAACCCTTTGCATTTCTGATCAGTTCTTAGGGCAGTTTTCCTAGAATTAGAATCCTAGGTCAGAGGAAACACCACTTGAGGACTCTTGTTACTTATTACCAAACTGCTGTCTGAAAGTTCAAATCAGTTCATCCACCTAGAAGCAAAGTTCATTATCTGTCGCTATAAGCTCGGGTAAGACTGGACTTGGATAAGAAATGCCTGGCCAGGGCACATGTGTTGAGTGCCCACTGTGAACTGAGCAGAGCATTCTGCTACCATCAAATGGTACTTGTTTTCACCATTTATTTTAGGTCAGCCGATGTTTTTCAAGGCCTGAGAGCAATCTGAAAACCAGGGTTGACCTGAGTGAGAACTCACTAAAACACTGGTGATTGCTTTCTGAAAGAGCAGCATTTGGGGGAGGCCTGAGCCCAGCACTTGAGGGAGTGAAGCACACGTCCACTGCTGAGCTGTTTGAAATTGGGCAAAATGAGAGCAATCAAGAACACGGGAGAAAGCTGCGTAGCCTGATGGGGTGGAAAGATTACCTAGTAGGTCTTTGTGGCTTGGAGTTTCAGGGACTTGGGTCACATTGCTGGAAGATTTGTGCAGTTCATGCATCAGTGCTATGTCTCAGAATATATACATTAGTTATTTCACCTGTGAAACTCATTTTCCACATGCGGATGGATAAGGTACTACATCCTGTGAGGGCTATTGTCATTTTTCTCTTATGTCAGGTATTCTTCTTCTTTATCAGTAGTCAGGCAGAAAATGATTATCAGAAAATAAGACCCTAGCACAAGTCACAGTAGGGCGGGGGACAGTTACTAACCATACAGAAGGAATAAAGAAATATGTTCCACCTTTAAAAATCTTACGCAACCAAAGAAATGCAAACCAGTTACTACAATGCCTATTAAACATTAAAAACTACTGAAAATGACACCTCCCAGTACAGAGAAGAGTGTACTGCACTGGCCCACAGCTGGTGACACTGCTAACAAGTACAGTTCATTTGCAAAGTAATTTGGCAATGTTTCAAAAGTCACAAAAGATCTATACTACTTAACTCACTAATTACACTCATAAGAATATATCCTAAAAATATAATTCAAAGGCACAGCAAGGTTCTAGGAGTAAAGACCTTCAACTGCATTATTATATTGGTAAAATTTTACAAAGATTTATTTTATTTTTAATTATGTGTATATGCCTGTGTGTGGGTTTGTACATGTGATTGAAGTGCTTGTGGAGGCCAGAAGAGGGCATCAGATTGCCTGGTGCTGGCATTGACAGGTGGATGTGAACCACCTCACGTAGGTTTTGGAAGATGAACTTGGAAAACCATTCAGTGCTTTGAACTACTGAGCCATCTCTTTAACCCTGTTGGTAAACATTTTAAAAAGCCAAAATGCTCAGCAATATAGGACGAGGCCACCATGTTATGGTACAGCTACTCAGTGGGATAATACACATATCTCAGGCCTCCAGGCAAGTTTGCTACCACTGAATAACAAAGTAAATGTACTTGACGGTTGCAATTAAGTAGGCAAGGGGACTGTGACCAGGAGGAAACAGGAAAAAGCAGAAGCAGTCTGTTAAGATAGTGGAACTGTAAGTGTTTGACTCTTGTTTAGTATTTGCAATGGTCGTACATTTCTAACACTTGAGAGTACTTCAATGCATTTGCTTAAACCGACATACTCCACACTGCGCATCACACTGGCTTACGTTTTCCATGCTTCTTCCACAGTGTGTCTTCTTTCAAGTATCTCCCTCCGCAGCTTTACCATCTCTCTCTGAATCTCCTCCTTCTCTTTCTTGGCCAGCAGAGCTTTCCTTTTCTTCTCTTCTTGCACTAGACACTGAGCCTCCAAGAAGGCTGCTTTTTTCAGGGCACTTTCCATTCTCTGAGACTCCAGTTGTTTCTCACGTCTTAAGCGATTTTCTTTGACCTTTCAGAAATCACAAATAGAATGCACAGGCCGACACTTAGGACACATTTTGAAGCTCAGAATACAACTAATTTGAAAGATTCTCACTCAAAACCCCACTGCTTATCGGAAAAACAAAGCCGTTCATTTGTTTCTGGAGTGAAAGAAGTATATAGTTCTACAAGCAGTTAGAGGAGAGGACTTGCACTATCCGGGGTGAACTGCATGAAGGATAAGCTGAGTGTGATAATAGGCTCAGAGCCCACATGTTGTTCTTATTTGGAAATGAACTCCCATTCTGAAACTTGTCCCGTGTATATATGACCACTTCCCCCTGGGCTCTGACTTTAACAATCACTTAAGAAAGAATAAGCTACATTCAGGTGGCTGTAATCTGAAGGACAGAACAGAAATCCATTGCCTTAGGGAACACTACCAGGTTCTACTCATTTCTGTCTTTAAGTATGCCAACAATTTGTGGCCACAGTTGGAAACCAAAAGCAAGACTTTTGTGATACTTCTAAATAAGCACATGCATTCCTCTCAATGCTAATTCTTCAGAGTCTGGCTCCTCTCTCTTTACCCTTTTCACCCACTAGTTGTGGTGAGACTCATAGACAATGGGCATGTCTTATTGAACCTTCCCTCCTTCCTTTGTCAACCTAGGATCCTACATCTTCCCATTTCTCCAACATTCCCATGGCTGGCTAGGTATACCCTAATGGTTCAAAACAGTGACTATTCATAATATGTAATTAGAAATCTAGTGTTATAAAATGACAGCATATATATGTAGATATTAGTGCTAGTTTTGTCTTAGCCCTTATCACATGGCAAAGATCCGGTCACTCTGAATTCCCCAAACTCTTTTGTGAGGCAGAGATCGCCTTTTCCTCTATTACCTACTATTCCTTTTGGAAGAAGGAAAGTTCCCATATGCCTTTCCAATTCAAAACAGCTGAACTAGATTTAATTCAGATCTGTCCTCCTTTTCAAATTATAATCACAAAATGAGTGAATTTTAGTTGTCTAGAAAAGAATTATCCTTATAATATCTAGCAGAATATTCATGATAATATATTAATGTCACCATTCAAAGACCAAATTGGAGCAAATGCAATCTACATATGTATAATCGGAAGCACCACATTCACACTAATAAAGTTTAGTTCAGTTCTCAACTGGTCAAAATCTATTATTCTAATTTCGGTTATTTCTTAAATAAATTGTTTCCTACTCTCGGTTTATGAGAATTATTTTTCTTCTGAAGTTCTTATATTTTATTTTTATTCTTCCTTACCAAACCACAGATGGCACCCTTTTTCATAATAAAGCCTAAGTCTTTATTTAAGCTTATTAAATGTGTTACACAAAGACTGCTTCCTGTTATCCATTTTAATTTTGTTTTTCCCTCCCACCTGCTTATGTCTCATCTCCATGGTAAGACGAGGATCCTTCTGCTGCCTCTTGCCTTGGTTTTCCTTCCTTGCAAGCTCTTCTACCATCTCAGCAGCCACCACTTCTTTATGGAGCAGATGCTCTAGAAATCTCTCAACAGTGGCACTTTCCTCCTCTCCCTCCAAATAGCCACATAAATCTGGGAACAAAAAAACATCAAGGAGGAGAATTAAAAAATAATATTAATATTTACATAAAAATTCCAAAACATACAAGGCTCTGATTGTCTCACTAGCAGGAACCAGTAATGACAGTTGGGTGAGTGTGACCCCCAGCAATCACCTTCAGATAAAGGCACAAACTCCATCCCTTGGGAACTGCCCTCACTCAAGTTACTAAGCGTCTTCACAGCCAGATCTAAAAGGTATTGCTTTAACCTAAACCACCTCAAAAACTCTTGCTTAAAAACAACCTTCAACTGATCCTAGGCTATAGCTCAGTGTTATAGCTCGTTCTCTAGCATGCATTACCCTGGCTTTAATCCACTTTCTTCTACCAAATGCTATAGAATGGCTATACTATGGGTACATTTTATGTGTCCATTCTAAACTTTTAAAGAAACTATCAAACTGCCATCCAAAGTGGGATGCATCTTTACATCCTACCAGTCCTGTGGAGTGTCCCAGCTCCTCCAAATCTTTACCCAGGCTGGGCATGGTTAGTCTTAACTTTAAGCTATTTGAACAGTAGTGTAGTGTAACTCATTGTAGACTTAGTATAGTATAGTAGGCTTGCCTAGTGACCCAGGCTTCTGACCAGTTAGACTAGGTGATATTAAAGTAGTCTTCTAGCTCTCAGGGCTCATGACTGTGATTCGCTAGTGAGGGTTTGTAGTCTTAGCAAGAGGAATGCCATCAGCTGGTTTCACCAAGGCTGACTTGAGTCAGGTGTCAAAAGCTGACCTGCCATGTTACTCAATCCACAGCAGAAAACAAACAACAAAATCAAAAACCCCAAACCTTTGTGGTACAGTAGAAGATCCTTTACAAGTCTGTTATTTAATTTGTTTGACATTAGCTTTATACAAAAGAGGAAAAGAAAGGAAACATCCTGAGAAGAGAAATAGCCTCTCTTGTAAATGAAAATGAATCAAAGCTTAAGAAGCATTTTATAATTATAAAATGATATGTGAATATTTAAGTGTGTTCTCTGTCAAAGCAAATAGTTATCTGATGATATATGGGCAAGAGATATTTTTAATTGCTACATAAATTATAAGCAAAATTATAAATAATGTAATATTTTAATTTTAAAAAGCAATAGGAACTTACTAACCAAGGAAATAGCAAAGGGGATTTATACTCAATCAAGAAAAATTAAACTCACAAAGATAAACCAAACATACATAAGCCAAATGTATCATTTATTATTTACAACAATAAAAATACTTCTTAGAAACATTCATTAGATGTTAAAGCTTAGAAGAACCAGATAAGTTCTTACCATCAAACTTGTCATACTTCAAATGGCCATGGGCGTCTGGCACAGGGGGGTTGCTTAGCACAGTGCTTTCCCCTTCTCCATCACTCGCTAATTCTTGTTTAAATTTGTTGTCTAGCCAGTCATTGACTAGCTCCTGAGCTGTTAGTAGAACAAAACTATCTTTTAATATTTCAGTGACTTACAGGCTTCCTTTATTTGCTGTTTTCATTGATTGATTGATTGATTCATTCATTCATTCATTCACTCACTCAGAGGTGCTTGAACACCCATTATGTGACAAATACTATTTTAGATACTAGGAATATAACAGGGAACAAAATTGAATAGAAAATGTTACCACCACAAATCTAACAGTCTAAACAAGGAGAAATGACAAATGAATACGACAAAAACAAAGCAGGGAAACAAGAAATGGAGGCTGAGTGTTGAAGTTTTAAATTGGGGGGTCAAGTAGAAGACATCACAGCAAAGGATGGCTATGAGTAACCCACATGGATACACAAGGCAATACTGTACTATGCAGGGGAAAGAAAGGTCAAAGGCCCTACTGCACGAGTGTGTAGAGGGCCAGAGAAGTGACTATGAGGGCAGTGTGGCTGGAGAAATGGGAGGGAGAGAGAGTGAGAGAGAGAGAGGGGGGGGGGGAGAAGAAGGAGGAGGAGGAGGAGGAAGAGGAGGAGGAGGAGGAAGAGGAGGAAGAGGAAGAGGAGGAGGAGAAAGAAGAAGAAGAGGAGGAGGAGGAGGAGGAAGAGGAGGAGGAGGAGGAGGAAGAGGAGGAGGAGGAGGAGGAGAAGAAGAAGAGAAGGGTGGGGGAGGTATAACGGTGAGATAGAAGAGGTGATAAACCAGGCTGAAAGCAGTGCTTATCAATAAGGTTGTGATCTTGCCCCTCATCTGAAATACAGCAACATTGGAAGCTATTTTTGGTTGTCACAATCAGGAGAAGTGGTAACAGCATCCAAAGGCTAGGATACTGCTAAACACCCTGTTGATAATATAGTCAGTCCCATGACAATACTCTGGCCCCAAATGTCCTAAAGCTGAAATCCTTTTATTTAAAGTCCTGATGCCATTTTAGGTATTTTGTCTACTACTCTAAGCTTGAAAGCCATGGGATGTTTGTAAGAGATAACCAAATTGGAAGGTCAAGATGGTATTGGTGACAATACTCAAGATTTCTTGGGATGTGTCCAAACTGAAGGAACAAATGTGAGAGCTGTCAGCATAGACAGTAATCTTAAGCCTTAGAAAAGGACGACATTATCAGGGGAACAAAGTAGGTGGAGAAGAGTTCAAAAACTCAAAACCTGAGGAAATCTACCTTTTAGGAGTGGAAGAGAAAAAGTAGAACCAGGAAAGCTAAATAGGAAGGAGAGATCTTGAGTGTAAAGGAAGTCAGAGCATGGATGCTGAAAGCTAACTGATACTAGAAAATCTTAACAGCAGGGCAGGAGAGGTGGCCTGGTGGTTAAGGGTACTTTCTGCTATTGCAGAGGACCTGGGTCAGTTCTCAGGATCTAGATGCCAGTTCACAACACCTGTAACTCCAGCTCAGGAGAGTGACATCATTTTCTGGCCTCTGTTGGCAACAACATGATATGTGTGCACGTAAATTCATGAAGGAATAAACAAGCAAGCCAGGCGGTGGCGGCGCACGCCTTTAATCCCAGCACTTGGGAGGCAGAGGCAGGTGGATTTCTGAGTTTGAGGCTAGCCTGGTCTACAGAGTGAGTTCCAGGACAGCCAGGGCTACACAGAGAAACCCTGTCTCGAAAAACAAAAACAAACAAACAAACAAACAGAATAAACAAGCAAGCAAATAAATAAATATCAAGTAAAAACTTATATGTAAAAACAGGAGAAAATGTTTCCATTAGCACTACCTTCATCATTTTTATCATTATCAAAGGGCTCGTCCTAGGTCTAGGGCATGGAGAGTTCAAAGAAGAAAGCCACTTACTTTCAAATTACTTTCACCACTGTTACTATTATCTCATAGTTTTTACACAATAATTAGGTATTCCTATATATTAATTAATGTCAAGAAATGTTTTTATAGTTAAAATAGGAGAAAACAAATGATAATAGTGGCCCTTTATCTGTAGCTCTATTTTCCACAGTTTTAGTTACTTAAGTTAACAGAGGCCCAAAAACATCACATGGAAAATACCAGAAATAATTCCTAAGTTCGGAATTGTCCTGTTTAAGTAGCATAAGACTGTGTGCTATCTTATGCCATTCCACTGGGATATGAGTGATTTCTCTGTCCAGCACATTCTCACCAGCCACACTACTGTTCTTAGTTAATAGATTAGTGGCCACCTCATTTACTGAGTTGATTGCTTATCACTGTAGTGACAGTGTTCAAGCAACCCAGAGATAACAGCCTAACACTGCCTCTATGATTTGGTCATTCACCTCACTTCATCACATCATTCAGGGGTTGTATCATCACATATCGTCATATCGTCACAAGAACAATGGTGAATACAGTAGAAAAAGATGTCTTAAGAAAGATGACATCCCCCAGAGATTCTGGAAGGTACTTCATGGGGACTACAGTGGAAACATAGTATAACAAGTATGCTACAAGAACGCAGAGAAAGGGAGCTAATAATCATTAACCTGTGCACAACAAGTTACACCTTCATGTACATAGTTTGGATGTAACACAGTCTAAGTCTACTGAATGCCACATGCAGTAAGGGCTTACTAGGAAGTACTAAAAGAACCAAGGGAAATTACTTCCTTTGCAAGTTATACCACACAGCTCCTCATGCTGGATGGGGAGAGGCAAGCAGACCACCGAAGAGCAGAGATTTTCAGAGTGTTCCCCACAGCCCTAGTTATGGTAGGATACTAATGCAGCTGATGAGAAGAGAATGAAAACCAACCTTTATAAAGCATGCTCTTTCCATGCACCAGCAAAGGTAGATACAGACCTAGCAGTTTCTCAAGACAGTAAATATTATAGAAATAAAATACCTGTCCCCTAAAAAAAATCGTGGTCTAGAAAGCTTGGGAAATGGAGCAAGACAATAATTTTCTTCAATTACAGGGTTTCTGGGAGCTCTTAAAGTATGTCACATATGGCTGCTGGCAGGGTGGAAGGTGAGGGGCACAACTCTTTACAGCATAGCTCTCCTTTATTCTGACTGCTGACCACTGGAGACTAATCAGTGTCGCTTTACTTCACCTACCCACTTCAGCAGCTTCCACAGTTTACTTCCCTAACCCCAACCCCCAAATACTACACTTTTCTATATTTAAATTACGGGCCTCTTCTAACCCTGTCCTACCCTATTCTACTCAGAATAAACTCTAGGTCCTTTCCCAGGCCAACAGTGCCCTGTCCAGTGAGTCTCCTGCTCACGCCTTACGCTCATGTCTACTGGAAAGCGAGCCCCACTGCCTTCCCCTCCGTTTCTCGTGTAGGCCAAGCTTGTCTGTACTTTGAGCTCCTGACACCACTTGCCCTTGGCTTGAGTGGAGCCAGCAAAAGAGACTGGGAAAAAGAGCCTCCAAGGGAGGAGGGAAGTCAGAGGACTAGATCCTACAAGCCAGCTTCTGTTTGGATTATTTGTGTCCCCAGTTACTTCATTTATCTCTTCATCTATTCGATGCATACATATTTAAGTCTTGTTCGCCATAGTAGACACTAGAAATATTGTTTATGAACAAGAAAGCAAAGCTGTGTTTTCATGGAGTAAGCACTCTAGTGAGGGAATGAAGAAGTAGAACCAAATGATCAGGTAGTGATCTATTCAAAACATTCAAAGGCAAGGAAGTTAAACTAGTTTTAGAGCCTCTTCTCAAGGAACCAAACTGGTTTATAAACCAGAGGTCGATTCATAGTCTAATACCAGATCAAGTTAATACGCCACCATCTGTGCCATAGGACCAATACCTTATACCATTCACCAGTTAAGTATTATATCAAACTGCTCCTAATAGTGGCTGCTTCAAATTCAGGAAAGGCAGTGAGCTTTAAATACAGCCTTGTGGGGCTGGGGTGATGGCTTAGAGTTAAAAGTGCAGATTGTTCTTGCAGGCAATCCAAGTTCAGTTCCTAGCACACACACCAGGGGGCTCACAACCACCTGTGACTCCAGCTCCAGGGAGCCTGATATCTCTGGCCTCCTCCAGCATCTTCGTAAACATGCAGACACCAATATGAAGACACAGACAAAGACACACACACAGAGACAGACAGACACAGAGTCAAACACAAATCTTTACAGATGCCTTACAATTGAAATGCAGTTAGCTCCGGAATACACAGCTTCAGGGTCGCAGAGAAGCAAAGGTTAACAGTGAGGATCAGAGCAGTTCTCATTCCATGCTTTGCACTGAGTTCTGAGCTAAGCTTTAATAAGTGTTAACATCACACCTACAAATGCAACCTCTCACCTTCTTCATAGACGTCATCATGCTCACACGTTGCCAGATCTACCGCTTGTCGCCAAAACCTTCCAGGTAAATCTGCATTTCTGGTAGAATATGTATTCGAAATGGCAAATTCTGAAGCTTTCTCCACTCTCTTCAGGATAACAGAAAAAAAAAATCTATCAGATGATAGCAACCTTGTTCAGGGTTAGAAAATGGCTGCTTTTCTGACAACTAGTAGGATTCTTTAATTTTCCCGTTTTTGTTGAAACTCTGGGCAATATTTTAGTTTTGTGTGTAATGTTAAATTAATTGCAGCAGTTGGCCAAGTTCTAACTAGCATTCCCAGTGTCTCTAAGAATGCTGTTTAGGCTTAGGTAAGTTGGAAATAGAACTGATGAGAGACACTGGTGGATATGCCTAAAGACCTGAGCTTCATCTGTGGGCCCACAAGGCAGCAGGAGAGAACTGACTCCTGACCTCCACACACGTGCCACAGCACATAGATCTATATACACATAGATGTATATCTGCCTGTATATATGTGTGCATGTATACACACTTACTACAATAAATAAAATGAGCATTTCTTTTTTATTAGCATGTATTAATTGTCCAAAATAATAGGTTTCATTGTGACATACTCATACACACGTAACATACTTCGATCATACTCCCCCCATTACCTCCTTTGTCCATGTTAGGGTTAAGTTTAGTTTGGCAACAGGATCCTGAAACCTGAATACTTTATTCTGAACAAACATCTGATATCAATTTCTGTGCCACTGAGACTTGTAAGTGAACAGAAACCACAGGCTGCCTCCTCAAATTTCTACAGGTAAAAGAAGTACCACTGTGTATGATGCAAGCCACAGGTTCCATACAACTGAGACAGATGGCCACCACTGTAGACATCTAGACTGCTTTAATTCAAAAACAAGAGTTTAATAAAATCACAACCAGCTTCACAGGATTGGGGAAGGAACTAAAGCTGAGCAAAACACCTTAGGACTGAGTAGAGAACATTTTATTTTACTTCACAGGTGAACTCCAGCGTCTGTGTCTCCAACACTTGCATCCCCTTGCTATTGTTAAGCGTTTACTCTTTAGACCAGCACTGACAACTCATAATTTAGTTCTTCACGTGAAAACTGTGGAGTCTTCCAGAACCTAAAATCTGTCTCTTTCTGTCTCTGTGCCTCAGTCTGTCTGACCCCTTCCCCTTCCTTCCCTTTCTCCTCATACCTGTTAGAAAATGTTTTGACTCTATTTTCAACATTACACATAACCTAGCTCCTTGGCATCATCCCATAGCCACCACCTCAGTCCAGGGAATGTGTTTCCCAACCGCTTCTCTGGACCAGGATTTACCACAGCAAGTGATCCCTTTCCAAGTGAGAGCCACACCATAAACCACTTAAACATTTCAGTTAGAACTAAGACAAATCCTTACAATGTGCTTCAAGGTCCAGGCCCTAACCCCTCTGTGAGCCCCCTGTCACCTCACCAGCCCACTTCACGTCAGCCACACGGATCCCTTTGTACATCCATCCTGTAACATTCCAATGGTGTTGCCACACCAAGGCCTCAGTAATCACCATCCCTCTGTCTGCCCATCTCTCCCACTAATTCTCATCCCACTCTTTCCCTCACCCCTAGCAAAAGTCACCGTCACAGCAGGGCTTCTCCACAACCACTGTAACCTCCTCCTCTTGTTCTCTCTCATCTGCTCAAACTTTGTATCTTTTATCATTTACAATATACCTTCTCTATTATAGACTCTGAACAGAACATTAGCAGAAACTGTTCTCTTCTTCACAAGAGAACTCCTAGCAATCAGATTCATGCTAGTACTCAGTCAGTAACCAAAAAATAATTAGTAAAGGAAGAACTAGAGATTTATTCTAAGACGCTGCACTACTGTGTTTGTAGTGTTCCTGGCCTATTTGGGAAATGACTTTGCCTGTTACCCTTGGTAGAGAGCTTGGTAATAACTTTATAAAAACTTGCCAAAGGTACATTATCTAACTCTCATGTTGCCTGGGTTAGGTTTCTGATGTTAGCAAAGGAATAAAGTTTAAAACCCAAGGATAAAATCTTGTCGTAGGAGGGGTTGGAGGTGGAACAGGAGTGATATGGAACAGGAAAACAAACCATCAGAGTTGAGTGAAGGAGACACCAGTGTCTATAGAGACTGTTTCCCACACTGCTTCTCAGAGCCCATGGGTTGTCTGGCTTTATGTTATGGCATGTACTAGAGGATGCACTGATTCTAATTATGCGGACCTAGGCTTACCCTTTAGCTTCTTAAGAGTTCTATGAAAGATGACTTTGTATATAGTATCTGTGCTTGTATGCACACACATGTAAACAAGTACAAATAAAACAATCAGCGTTAATTTCTAAACTAATACCCATAAAAGAAATAGCAGATTTGTAGACTTGATTAAAACTTTGTAGACTAAGAATACAAGAGATAACTATATGTCATTTCATTAGAAATTTGTGTAGGGTTTTTTAAAAAAAAACTTTATTACGTACATGTATTAGCCAAATATATGTGGGTGTTAAAGGATAACTTGTAGGAATCAGTTTTCTTTTTCCACAGTGGGGTCTCAGGAATCAAACTTAGGTGGTTAAGCCTTGGCAGCAAGTGCCTTTACCCCATGAGCCATCTCTCCAGTCCTTGTAAAGGTTCTTAATAGAAGGTGGTGCAGAGTTTGGGAAATATGAGGAAACTGATCTTGATACAGCAAAGGGTCTGGAAATGGCAACTGAATGGAAGAGAATGTTTGCTCAGTTCTAACAAAGCAGCCTTGAAATATGTACTTGATGACACTAAGGTTAAGAAGTAATGTCTGCAGTGCTTCGACTTATAGTATTATCTCCCCCCAGAATAAGTATGTAAGAGCTAAGAGAGGTCTAGTCTACATCTCAGTAACTTGTGTCCATTTAACATCTTGTTCTTTCAGTAATTCTGTTCTAGCTCTGTTCCAGCAATCCAGTAAATACTACAGGGAAACAAAAGTAAACGTTTCATTCTTAGAAAGTTCAAGGTTTTGTTTTGGTTCCATATGCCATCTGCATAGTAATCCATTCAAAAGCAGTTCTAAAGTAAGACAGACTGATTTAAAAATAAGCTTATTGTGTGTATATATGTGTGTGTGTGTGTGCGCGCGCGCATGTGCACCTGTGTGTGCAGGACAGAGAACAACCTTGGGTATAGCTTTTCTCACTGGCTTGGAGCCACCAATTAGGCTACGCTGGCTGGCCAGGAGGCCCATGGGATCCACCTGCTTGCTTCCCTAGCTGGAATTACAAACACCACCATGTCTTTCCTTTAATATGGATTCCGGCTATCTAACTCAGATTGTCATGCTTAGAAGACAAACACTTAACAACAACTGAGCCATCTATTTTTCCAGCCCTAAGACACTTTCTAGTTAGTAACTATGTTCAATGAAATTTCCTTTACAAAATACTAAACTCAGTTATTCCTATAACCTTATGCATATTCCACATATCCCACAAATCATCACAGATAGCAGAAACAGTGGCTACAACATGACCCTTCATTTCATTATGATCAGAAGATACAAAAAGGAGTTTAACATATCCTCATATGTGTATGGTTCATATATGTTTGTGAAAGTTCCAATTCTTTTAAGAATCGCTCTTTATAGGAACATGCATTTGATGTTTTATTAATAAAGTGTGTATAACAGAATTCTAAAGGAAACTATTCAAGGATGGGGGTTAGGCTGTGGAAGTGGGTTTGGAGCATCTAAAGCTGAGTTGAATGGGAAGGATCTAGATCATGTCTCAGAAAGAACAGATACTCCAGGAAGAGGCATCAGCAAAAAACACAGCAGAGGGAGCACCTGCTTGATAGAGAGGAAGGAGAAAGACCAGGGAGGAGAAGAGAGATGCAGAGTATTGGAATAAAAAAGTTCAATCAGGCAGGAGTAAGACAGGATAAAGATGAATTGTAAATCATGGAATACTGCATTTAGTGCTAGCTGAGCACCTGCCTGATTCTAAGTGATTTCTCCATCACTGTGGATGCTCACTAACATCTCGGTCTCAAAGTTTGCTGGACCTTCTCTTTTATCACAGCATTCCCCACAATTCTCCTTTAGCTACCCACTTAAATCCAAACCACGTTGTACAGATTGTCTCATTCCTCAGCCTAAACCCCGTTAACCAGCTCTCCATGTTAACCATCCATCCATGCTTCATTCCTCTTACTCCCACAACTCTGAAGCTGGACCCAATCAAGTCTTTTAGTCATTGCAAGCCATTCTCCTCCACATCTGTAAGATCTTGAAAGAGGACCTTCCCTTCCTTCAAATTCATATGGACGGTCTGCTATTGTCTTACTTCCACATCCCCATCCCTTCATTTCAGTAGTGACAATCCCCAAGCTGGGATCAGTTTAATCTACCTTTTTTTTTTTTTGTACCTTAAAACTTAATGGTTACTTACTTCAGCTAAATCTACAACACAACTGGCAATCTTCCTTTTGTGTTCTAAAGAGAGGACTTTCTCTACCTTCACCATCCTTCTACCGAACAAATTCACAGATGTTCTCTTAAAGGATGGGCCACTCAAGTGGATTTGGAAGTATTAGGAGGAAACATTAACCACTGAGGGTATACCCAGAGTTGTGATATATTATGGAGTCAAATCCGGGGTAGGGGATGGGGGGAGCAGAGAACACGAGGTAATAGGAGAAGAGATAACAGTCCAATGGAGAATAATAACGGAGGAGAGGGTGTCTAGAATATAGATGCTGAGGCTGTCAAAGTAGAATGGAGAAGTTTGGTGGCTAGCAAGAGATGACGAGTTTGGTCAAAAAGGTCAGTCCTAGTAACTGTTTCTGTGGAATGGAAACTGAAACAAATAGATGTTTTATGTGTATGGTACTGCTGATCGAGTAAGAAACAGAAACTAAGCAAAAATAATTGTGGACAAGAGAAAACAATGAAAATATAAAAGTCAAGAGTCCACATTATGTAGATCTGCAGATATTAGATAAGAAAATAAAATCATTCGATAATCAGGACTGACTTCAGGTTCAAATAAGAACTTATTGATTTTTTCAATCTGGGAGATTTGTGAGCAAGATGGGAAAGAGCCTGTGCAGAAGATTTAGAGGAATGATAAAACTCTGAGTCCAACGGGCTGACAGCTACAGGAAGGAGGAAAATCATAGAAGTGAGACAAAATGGATTTCATCCTTGAGTTTTCATTAAATCTCTCCCTCTAAAAGAGGTGGTAAGCAAGTGTATGACTAAGGCCTGCAGAACCTCAGTACTGGGACTCTGGACATTGACATGCAAGCCAGGGTTGCTGGAGGCTAAGTGGTCTTTCAGGGGCTGAAATTCATTATGTGATCTGTCTTAGCTGTCTTGTAGACAGAGCTCCTGCAGTGGTCAGGGTGTCTTCCCTAGCCCTGTCGAGATTGATGCCTCCCACCACATACTTCTATGTTCAATTCTCATAGCGGCTTTAAGCCAGTTATTTATGCACCATTGGACTATAAACTGTAGTCCCTGTCTCATTTCAGCTCTGGTACTCAACACCCCGAGCTTGTATTTAGTAGACACTTAACAAATAATAGCAAGTGAGTAAATAGCTAAAAAACAAAACAGAACAAAAACATTATAGTTAGGCTCGGTTCTGTCTAGCTGGGTGTCGACAACACCCATCAACGTAGATAACATTTGTTCAAAATACACAGAGATAGAATATTCTTTCAGGAAAATACTACATGATTTTGAACTCTGTGCTATACAAATAAACTGATTACAATGAGTTGCTAAGTTGACACTCAGAGGTATGTCCATGAAGTGCTTTTAAGGAGCTTTCAATTTAATGGTACGTGAATTAAAAAATATACACATCTCAAGACTGCAAGACATCATAGGTCAGGAAGTCATTATAGCAGCACTTTCTGTGTGGGTTATCTAACCCAGCTCCCTCTCAATGGATGCTCAAGCTGATTCTTTATTAGTGCAACACCAAGTGAAATTTTAGCATTTACTCCAATACTCCCAGTGGTGAAAAACATGCCTCTTTGTGAAAACTTTTACTCCATTTTTGAGTTGCTCTTGACATTAAAGAATCCTGGTGATACCCATGTAGCTTTTGCCAATGGCCCCTTTGTTAACATAACTACAAAACAGTATTCTAGTGTCTAAAGAAAGCTACAACATTATCTCCCAAGGCCTCACTTTTCTTACTCTGTCGGCTTCTTCATGTGATGCCCATGCCAGATGAAAGGCATGTCTATCAACTTGTTTTCTCATAAGCTACCTCACAAAAAGCAACAGAATAATGAAAGACATTAGAAAGCCTAAAATTGAGGTGACACACAAAATCACATGGGAATAACAATAGTCATGTGTATGCACACTGGAGATCTGTCATTACACCTGACTCTCATGCTTTCTATTTCTGATTTTGAAATGCCTTACCTTAATCCAGTCCCCCATGTTATCAGGCTCAAATGAAGACTGTTGAAAATAGATACAGAATATTAATGCACAGCAACAGCTTCATCAACATCACTGTTTCAAAGCTGTCTTTTCACTAAAGCATATGGAAATGCAGCCTTAATCCTTTCCTCCAAACTTTCCATCGGCAAGTTCAGCACTGACCAGCAGTGAAAGCACATTAAACCACAGCAGAAGAAACAGGAAGCCTTGTCTGTGATTCTGTGATATCCTTATTTTTACTTTTATCTACACCTACCTTGAGATTGCAGTGTAATAGCTCTGTAGTATTGGCATCAGGCTCCCCTCACCGGCCCCGCTCCAGGGCTAAGAGTCAAGGTATAGAAGTCTGTATTTCTATATAAATGTGTAGAAATATTACTCCTCATGAAACCCATACTAACACTGGTTAGTTCTCTCTCTGTCATTTTCTGCTTAATGACTATTATAGTTCTTTCTTTCCTGTTTGTAAAAGTAGCCAGATGCCTTCCTGTCCTTCTTACACCTGAGATGTTTTCTGGCAAAACAGAAGTGGGGGTGTGGAACAAAATTACTCAACTTCCACTGTTGTACCAAGCATAAAATGAACAAAACAAATTAATTTCTATCCAGATCAGTCAGCTGTTAATCTGAGATGAGAAATCAAGACCACAAGGAGCCTCCTCTCTGTTCTCTGCCATCCAGGAGCTTACAGAACTCTAACAACCACTGAGCAAACAGGAGTATTTGCTTTGCAAAAATATTTGGGTTTTTTTTAAATGATGGGACAACAAAACAATTAACTGGCACAAGAAAGCTGCTGAAAAAGGGATAGTATCCTCCTTCACCTACCTAACACTTCACCTTCAGCTCACCTTACACACAATTAAATGCAGCTGTTCTGTCTGAATAACTGTGTCACTGCAACAAAGAGCTGATCCTATTCAAACACAGTTGAATTTCAAGGCACTCTGTGTTTTGCTTTCTTTATCCTCTGGACAAGTAATAATGAGCACTATCAGGGGGAAAAAAATCCCTCTTTTTGTAGTTCTGAGTTGTCCCAATTTTTTTTTTTTTGCCTTTCATCATCAAATCTATATTCATATGCTATTTTGGGCCCCATCTATTATGCATCGGAGCAACCTCAGTTTCCACTCTGTATTGCTCTGGCCTGTGCACTCTAGTATCTGGAGCATGGTTTTCACTAAGTAGAATGTGTCCTGTGCACACAGTTGCTATATTTAGGATAACCTACAAGAATGATTCCCTGGGACCCCCACAAAAGCCACATGTCTAGAGGATTTTTTTTTCTTTTTACAGGAAGGTGCAACCAAGGGGTGAGAGCAGCCAGTGAAACCGCTCTGCAGCTGAAAGCTGAACCCCCTCCATTGCAATACTCTCATTTACATTTAAAGCTTTGTGTGTGTGTGTGACTGTTAAAGAGGTATTCTGGAAGGCACACTTGGTGTGGCTGTGACTTTGCATGACTGTGACTTTTGTGTGTCCCAAGTTTTAAATGGCGATATCTTTTTGTTTTGTTTTTGTTATCCTCCCTCACCCCTCCCCGTCATGCCTTTAGGAGCTAATGCACAGACGAGGTAAGAGATACAGGGAGGCTCTATCTTTGAATACTGGTGGAATTTAGAAATAACCATATGGATAAAGTATTGAGATATAACCACCTGGACTTCTGGGTTTATTTTAGATACCTGGTGTAAAACTGGAAGGGAGATATAAGGGATAACGGCGGAGAATTTCATGTGATTATTTCTTTTCTTTTCTAAGACCCCTTACCTGAAGGGGAGAGGGAGAAATGTGAGGAAAGTTTCCTAAAATTGGTGACAGAGGTAAGGAAGGATTAGGGGGTAAATTCCCCTCACCCTGATGGGGACTAGTAGACCTCTCCATGTATGGAATTAATCCTTACAAGATGCAGCCCACCCAGTAGTGAGTACACAGACCCCCCATGACTCCTTAAACCATTCTTCCTAGGCTGTGTTGGCTCTGGGGTAGTCTAGGCCAGGTAAGGATGCCCCCGGGGGAAGAGTGAGGAAGCGCAGGGCAGGAAACGGCTGGCTTCGGGACTGTGTGGTGCCTAGGGCCGGCCCATGTTCCTCAAAGCTCCCGATTGGGATCACCTTGAGATTCAGCTTCCTTGATAACCGTTTCCAGCGACTCAGCTCCATCTTCTTCTTTGAGGCGGACCCTCCCTGAGGCGCCAGCAGCATTTTTGCAGGCTCAGGCCTAGACTTCGGCCACAACAGTGACAACCGAGCCTCCTCTCCCAGATTGCTTTTTTGCGGTGCTGGGAGTTGTAGTTCTGCCACCTACCAGCTAGACAGGGGTCTGACATTCAGGAACTACTACTCCCAGGAGGCGTTGCGCGTACAGCTTGCGTTCGTGCTGTTACCATGGCATCGGTGGGGCTCACTGGACTTCTTTAGCAGGGCCTTTGCCTATGTCTGGCGCTTGGTGATGACGCAGAACTTCCTGATTGGCTATGAGGCAGAGGAGGTGGTTTAGTAGGCCAAGAGTTCTGCAAGCCGGAACACGTGTTATCTCCTGCGAGGAGTTTAAGGGTCCTGAGGGTGCGGAGTTTTGTAATCTACCGGTGAGTGTTCCTTTTCCATGCAGAGGGAGGTTGAGTAGCTCCCACTTCTTTGATTGCGTTGCAGACCTGTTCCCACCTTTTCATTACTTGGTTTCTTGTTGGTCTAGGATTCTGCCAGCTCAGTCTCCCAGTGAGATTGCCGATCACATCTCAGAAAGAAAAGGACCTCTTTTCTCCTGTCCTCTGCCGGAGGGTGAGCATCTCAGCTGCAAGTTTTTCTGAATTTAGCAAGTACTTGGGGAGCTATAAGAGTAGTAAAGTCTAGAGCTCCTGGGATGGCTAATGGAACTAAGAGAAAATTGAACCTAAATAGCCAAGCCTGGGTGTTGTCAAGAACAGTCCACTGAAAGTGTATCTATTTTCAAGGCAGGGCAGGAATTCATAACTGGACCTGGCCACTTGTGGCAGTTCAGCTTACTTACTGGCAAAGTGGGGTTATACCTAAACCCTGGGAATATTGTAATGATTCAAAATCAATGTGTATAAGACTTTCTGCCAGACAATCTAAACCAAACTTTAAACCTGTGGAAATATAAGGAAAGCTGTGCCCCATAGACCTGGCCTCTACTTGAGTGTGGACCAGTAAGAACATAGTTGAGCGGGTTGTGTTACATTTCAGACCTTCCGCTGTCTCAATGGTAGTTCTTTTGGAAGAGTTAGTTTTATGGCTATTCTTTGGAAGGAGTGCCTATTTATTTCTGAATGAAAAGCAGAGTTCAGAGAAGTGCACATAATACACTGTGCGTCCATTTTTGGAGAACAAGTGTGTTTAAATGTTTGGATGAGTATGGAGGAAAGCTATCCATTTGGAGAAGATGGATTAGAAGCAGAGGAGCAAGGTGGAAAAAGAAGAATTACACTGTAGCAAAATGGGAACTATCGCAGTTAATATGGAAACATTCCAATATTTGACAAATTTCAGTTTTTTCTAAGCCACTAGCCTATATTATAGTCTCTAAAACTAGACTGCTATAATTTCAGTAACAGCTCTGCCAGTTACTACTATTGTCTGTCTTAGTCACTGTTCTGTTGCTGTGAAGAGACACCATGACCAAAGCAACTGTTACAAAACATTTAATTGAGGGCTTGCATACAGTTTTAGAGGTTTAGTCCATTATCATCATAGCAGGAAGCATGTTGTCATACAGTCAGACACTGGATCGGTAGCTGAGAACTACGTCCTCATCCTTAGGCACAAAGAGGTTTGGCATATACTTTTGAAACCTAAAAGCCTACTCCCAGTGACACGTTTCTTCCAACAAGTCCATAACTCTTATCCTTCTAATCCTTTCAAATAGTACTACTACTCCTGGTGAGTAAGCATTCAAATACATGAGCCTATGGGGACCATTCTTACTCACACCACCCCAGTGATTTTATTAGCTTTACTTTCCTAATTTATTAAATACAGGTGAATAGGGGTCTATGTTGTATTTGTTATGAGGGTTAATGTAGTTAATGTATTAAGCATGGTAAGTACCCAATAAATGTAGCTACTATGATAGTCAGGCCTTTCAGTGGATGAGATGAGTATTTGATTTGTGTGTGTGTGTGTGTGTGTGTGTGTGTGTGTGTGTGTGTCTGGGGTGGTGTCTTAGTCTGTAGTCCTGTCTGTCTTGAAACACATTTTATAATCAGGCTGGCCTCAAACTTACAGAAATTTGTCTGCGTCTCTGTCTCCCAGGTGATGGGATTAGATTATGTGCCAGCATTTTCTTTTTTCTTCTGGATCCTTCCTTCTTTCCTTCCTTCTTTTCTTTGTTTCTTAAAGATTTGCTTTTCTGTGTATGAGTATTTTTGCCTACATGTATATATGTGTACTACAATTGTGCATGGCACTCTCAAATGAGAATAGGAAACCTGATCTTCTAGAACTGACGTTACAGATGATTGTAGACTGCCATGTTGTTACTAGGGCCAGACCTGGGTCCTCCACACAAACAGCAGGTTATTTTAACCACCGAGCCAATTCCCCAGACCTGTATTTTTTATTTTTGATGTGCTTCATTGGTTTCTTTTCTTTCTTCTTACTTATTTTTTTTTAAACCTTCATTGGATAATTGGAATTTTCTTCAAATTTCTTCTGTATTTCTTTCTAACAGGTTTGGATAGTGTATATTCTGTCACCCATTCCCTTAACGGCTATTTCCAAACTCTTAACACCTGTGCCTTAGTATTGTTAGTGTATCTCTCTCTCTCTTACCAATTAGGGTAAGAATTTTAAAATATTTAAAATAATATGGCATCAGTCATTTCTGAATCAGCTTGGTGCATCGTATTGTTTGGAAGTTCTTCATAGTTTCTATATGTACATAATTGTTAGCTCTGTATGGGAAAGGTGGGGAAAATATGGATGTTTAATATTTACAAATATCTATAGTTTTCTCCCCCCTCCCCCAGTGTGATCATCTCAAGCTTGCTGCATTCGGTTATCAAACTTGGGACATCTGATTCAAGCAACATTTAAAAATTCTTTCTCTTCTGACAGATGAGGGCAGATTGGCATTAGCATGTTAGGGCAGGGAGTTGTCAGAAACACAGATTTGCTCACTGCCTGTGAGTTTTCCCTGCATCCTAAGGCTCTCCCTTAGGACCCCTAGATATTTAATCTGTAGAGGTGAAGTGAAAAGGAAAGACAAGCGGTATAAGAGACTCGCCGCAGTAAGTGGCGGGTGGGGCATGGTGATAGAGGCGGATGAAACCATTTGATTCTGTGGAGACGTCCGTCTGCATTTTGAACTTTGCTTGGGTTGGTGATTACATCACTTCCAAATTCTGCTTTTAAAACGCCCTGTGGTTGCTGGAGGCTGTTGTGTAGGTACAGCTTTCTAGTGGATACAATGGGCAAGAGAAACTCTTTGATTTATGCATGGGAGCTGTTCCTTCTCAGCAGTTGCCATAGCCCGGTCATTGGCACATTACTATTATTATTTTTTTTAAATACTCATGTGAGTCTATATTCATGTCTATATTGCATACACAAATTCATAATAAAAATTTGTATTAAAAAGTCATTGGTCTGCAGCTAGCAAGATTAGACTAGGGTGGCTGGCTTTCTAGCCTTCAGAGATCCTTTTGTGTCTGCTTCCTCAGACCTAGGATTACAAGCATGTAATTACAAGCCTAGCTTTTTTAGAAATATGGATTATGGTGATTCAGCTCAGGTCTTTATACTTGCAGGATAATCCTTTTACCTACTGAGCTATCTGTCCTACTATGTTGGGTTATGTCTTAAACAGTAATTGTCTTTCTTTGAAAGGAATGCTTTAGGATATGGGTGCTACAGTTACAGTCTATCACTTAACTATAATAAATCATCTACTACTAAAACTCAGGGGAGGGGCTGAGGGAATGACTCAGTGTGCATGTGAGTTTGGATACCCAGCACTCACTTATTGCCTGGCATGGCTGTTAGGCACCTGTTACTCACCACTAGGATGCTGAAATGGGTGGGACTAGGGAGCCAGGGGGCTTGCATGAGCACTGATATGCGCACACAACCTCGGCCTGGTCCAGTTGGCAAGAATTCCTAAGAATCCTTGATGTAGTGATGTAATATAGTATTTATAAGATGTTGATATGTCCATGGACATTTGAATTTTAAAAAGTGCATGTTTGTATGATGTCTGTGTATCTAGGTCCTGTGCCACATATGTATGGAGGTCAAAGTACAGCTTTGCAGAGTCAGTTCTTTTTCTCCTTTATGAGGGGGATCAAACTCAGGTTGACAAAGTTGGCAGCAAGCACCTTTACCAACTGAGCCATGTCACTAACCCTCCAATGACATTTTTTTTTGTTTTGTTTTGTTTTGTTTTGTTGTTTTGTTGTTTTGTTTTGTTTTGTTTTCGAGACAGGGTTTCTCTGTGTAGCCCTTGCTGTCCTGGAAACTCACTCGGTAGACCAGGCTGGCCTCGAACTCAAGAAATCTGCCTGCCTCTGCCTCCCAAGTGCTGGCAATGACATTTTATAAATGATCAGCCATGCTGGTTTATCAGACTCTGTGGGGTATTATAAAAGCTCATAATTTTTCATGTTGAATACTAATTATTTAATAACATCCTACAATTAATGTTTTCTGGTTTTGATTTTTCTTAGCCCTCTTGGCGTATCTATAGAAGTTAGAAAGAATATATTTTTCCTTTAAAACTTTGTCTTTCCCGTTATGAAATCACTCCTAGGTCATTTATCTGCTCCTGCAGTTTCTCTTCTGTGTGGGAGTAAACTAGGATATATATAATCCCACATTGCAGGTAAACTATTATTCTATGCTGTGTAGTCTTTGATGTATATGCTTTATGCTGTTTTGGAATCGCTTTTATTGAATTTTTATGTGGAGGGGAAATTATTGCTTAATAGTCTCTCAAGTTGGAGAAATGTTAATAATGTGTGCCCTAAGTGGTATGACCTTCCCAGTGCATGTTTTCAGGGCTGAGTAACCTCGAATGCCATCTTTCACAATTAACCTTCTATTTCAGGCCTTGAATTTGCTTTGTTTTCGTCATCTTCCATGTGTGTGCACACATCCTGATACCCAAGAAAGCTGTGAGCCAGAGGTAATAGATATGTAGCTGTTCACTTTTGCGTACATTGCTTTCTTTGCAAAGTACTTAGCCTTTAGATGTCATGAGTCAACTTGTAAATTTAATGTTACTTTCTTCTCAGAACCCAGAAGAATCCCTAGTGATGAAGCTGAATCTCATCAAAGTCGTTAACGGCTGTCGTCTAGGAACAATTCAAAACCTGGGCAAAGCAGGCGACTGCACGGTGGACATTCCAGGCTGTCTTCTGTACACCAGGGCTGGCTCTGCCCCACACCTGACACATCAAACACTGCAGAATATCCATGGAGTCCCAGCCATGGCCCAGCTCACACTGTCATCCCTGTGAGTGCCGAACCTAATCATTCAGATATCCAGCCTTAGCTGCAGCGCACAGGGAGGTTTCTTTTTTCTCATGTGCATATGTAGATTAAAAAATGAAATCAGAAAAAAGTATTAAATATTCTACAACCTTTGGTCCTAACCTGGAACCAAAGGCAAGACTTGTATGTTAGCAGTGCTTTGCGTTTCCTTCCAAATTTTAGGCCCTTCCTGTTACTCCCCACACATAAGAACATGTGGAGTTTAGAGGTCCCTCAGCCCTCTGTACGCATAGGAACTGGTACAAGTTTATGAAATGAGATAGACTCAAAGTGTTTCAAGTACAGACTAACATATTTAGTTGAAGATTTTGCTGTATGACCAAGTAACTGAGATATTGTGTTGATAGTGATTTTAAAGGGGCAAGAAAGGGGAAGGAAGCCAGTGTTCAGAGCAGGTGAGTTTTGTCAGTTTTCTTCTCATGCACCACTGGCAGATTATATACCTTCATTTTCACTAATGAACCCAGACCTGCCGGTCGAACATCTCAGTGACATGCTTTGCTGTTGAAGATGGCATTTTCTGTCATGTGGCTTATTTAGGTGAGGAGGAGAGGGCTTCAGATGCTGTACAGAGACGCTAAAGAACGATGCCTTGCTGTGCCATGCAGTTTCCTATTTTTCTTACAGAGCAGAACATCATGAAGTCTTGGCAGAGTATAAGAAAGGAGTTGGAAGCTTTATAGGTAAAGATTATTTAAATTACATGCATGTGTGATTTGTGATGTGTTAATCTGGATTGTTATTCTCTCATATATTTATTTCTCCTCTTTCACCACCACTCCTCCCTCTCCTCCTCTCCCTCCTCCTCTTATTTCTCTTCCTCCTTTTCTTTGGGACATCTAAGAAAGAAGCACTGGGGAAGTGAAGGTTTATTGGGAAACATGATCCTGGCTGCTTTGCACGTCAAAGTTACATAATATATCATGACAAACCACAGGGTCTATAACCTTCTCTGGATGCGTGTGACTATGGTAAACAGGTGTGGGGCCACCGCTGCACACTAAGTAAGACCAGAGACCAGAGCAGAGGCCATAGGCTGTACACACTCCACAGCTGTCTCCTCATGCAGGAGCCTCATTCATAAAGAAGAGGATGAAGAGCTCATATGTGTTCCAGCAGGAGGACTCCGTGTGCAGATGCTACATGCCCATTTAGTGAGAGGAAAACCTCAGTGGTAGCAGCTACAGAACCAGGTCTTCCATAGACCACTTTCTCTCAGTTTCCTCCCCAACCCCTAGCACGTGGGCCTCGTTAAGTCAATTACTCCTGAATCCACAGTCATCCCTGCATGATGCCTTACTGGTTCAGAAGAGGAGAGTATGGAATCTCAGTACCTTAAGTTGAGAACAGTTCTAATCCCCAGCTTTAAAATCTACAAGCTATTCATTAAGTGCCCATGGCTAGCATGTGCTTTCCAGAATAATTGTAACAACTGAAACTTAGCAAATAAGGTAGAAGAACATGGCAAAGGATTTAACATTTTTAACATTTAACAGTTTTAATTTGTTTTGTGGTTTGTTTGTTTTTTAAGTGGAATCCTATAGGAAATGTAGGGTATGATATGAAATTTATATATGAATTACTGATCAGTTTTTAAATATCTATCTTATGTGTCTGAATGTTTTGTCTGCATGTGTATGTGTGTACCATGTGCATTCCCAGTGCCCGTAGAAGTCAGAAGCGGGTGTGTGGCTACTGCTACTGTGTGCTGACCCTGAGGAAAAGGGCCAAATGATACCGCTTCTTAATCGCTGCTAAGTTTTCAGTTCCTGCTAACCAGCGTAGGTGGGCCCAGTAGAGCAGTGGTTCCCAACCGTCCTAATGCTGCAATCCTTTCTCCTTTAGTCCCTCATGTTGTAGTGACCACTACCCATGAAGTTACTTCGTTTTTATTTTATAACTGTAATTTTGTTACTGTTACAAATCATAATGTAAATATCTGACATGCAGGATATCTAATAAGTAACCCATGTGAAAGAGTCATTTGACCCTCAAAGGGGTCACCACCCACAGCTTGAGAACCGCTGCTTTAATGTTTCTGGTGTGTTATTAATCACAGCTTCCTCTTTAGCTCCAGCTGACCAGAACCACAGATTCTCAACTCAAAATATTATAACAATGGCCCTGATAGTGTCTTCTGGGGACTCTGAAACGTCACAAACCAGGACTCCACTGTCTGCTTGTGTCACACCATTATCTTCTACAGTCTCACAGCAGCTGAATAAAGTTTCTAGCTCAGAGTTCCAAAATTTCCACAATGCTCCTCAAAGCAACATGGTCAGGTCTGTCATAGCAATATCCTCTGAACCTGTTACCAGTTTCTGTCTTACGGGTTCTATTGCTTTAATAAAGATGGTTACCAAAGCAGCTTGGGGCGGAAGGGTTTATTTAAAGGCTTATTATGTATGCTGACAAAAACTGAAGCAGAGGCCCACAGGAACACTCTTTATTGGGTTTCTCCCTGTGACCTGCTCATCCTGTTTTTGTGTAGAACCCAGGACCATACATCTGCCCAGGAGTGGCACTGCCACGGTGAGCTGGGCCCTCCAACATCAGGCATTAATCAAGAAAATGCTCCACAGACTAGTCTTTAGGCAAGTTTCATGGAAGCAATTTCTCAATTGAATTTCCTCTTCTCAGATATGTCTAGGTTTGTGTCATGTCAACACAGGATGAATCTTTACATTTAATTCTTTTAGGTTGGAAGGTCTCAAATCATTTTGTTCCTTTTCACAGGCCTTCTATAAATCCCAGAGCAGGAACCAGCTGTTAGCTGAGATCAGAGTTGCTTATCTACAAGCACATGCTGGGAAGCTTTTCCCTATAGCACTTTGAACAGTTCTTTCTGTGTCTATACAGGCATGCCAGAATCGCTCTTCTATTGTTCCCTGCACGATCCTGTCAGCCCCAGCCCAGCTGGTTATGTAACAAATAAGGTGTGTTCTCAGGAGAGCCCTCAAGACTGCAGTCTTGCCCTGGGTAGTCAAGTTATGGTGACCCTCAAATGCATCCCCGAGACTGGATTGATTCCTTGATGCCCTCTATTTATGTTGATGATTTTGACAGAATGTGGTGATTCATAAGATTTAGGAGGGCTGCTTGAAGATGTGTTAAGTTCGGAAACAGATCCTCAGCATTTTAATATTGTTGGAAAAATGTAGACGGTGGAGGAAGGTCAAGTACCTACCTGTCAGATGGGAACATCTGAGATGAGAGTACGCATAGCCTTTGGATACAGGCGCTTGCATGCAGCCTTAACACTCTGGGAAACGCAAGAGAGCTTCTCAGGAGTTACCATAGATGTGTCGAGATGTAGTGGAAGCTCAGTCAGTATTACTGCTGCTAGATCAGAATTCAGAAAGGCTAGATCTCTAGCCAGAGGTTGTAGGGAGTAAAGAGTGCTATTAGTAGCTTTGTAAGTTTCACTGAGTGGCACCTCTGTTGGTACTACCCCTTAGCATGGCAAGGCCAGGGTTCAGTGTACACCATTGCCTTACAAGAACAGTCACTCCCTGCACACAGTGGCTATTAATTTTACTTAAGAATACAATTTAAATTGTTTGTTTGTTTCTGAAACAGGCTTTCTCTGTTGCCCTGGCTGTCCTGGAACTCACTCTGTAGAGCAGTCTGGCCACAAACTCACAGAGATTCTCCTGCCTCTGCCTCCTCCTCAGTGCTGGGATTAAAGGTGAGTGCCACCACCACTCAGCATAAATACTGTTTTCTTTTTGGTTTTTCGAGACAGGGTTTCTCTGTGTAGCCCTGGCTGTCCTGGAACTCACTCTGTAGACCAGGCTAGCCTCGAACTCTCAAACTCAGAAATCCACCTGCCTCTGCCTCCGCCTCCCAAGTGCTGGGATTAAAGGCGTGCGCCACCACCGCCTGGCATAAATACTGTTTTCAATTGTGCTTCTCACTTAGGATTTTTATTTTTAATTATAATTTTTAAAAATTGTTTTACTATTCGTATAAATACAAATCACTGTAAGAAGTTAGCGGAGGGAACAATGAACTCTATCTAGGAAATCTGAGTTGAACACATTAGAGCAGGTAACATTGAACCTCAGGACCTTCAGTTCATTTGGACTATAGTGAATCCTACACCACATATAGGGTTTTGGATTGACACATCTCTCCAGTTGTTAGGAATTTCTGTGCACCCTTGTGTTATGTACTTTTTATTTCATGTTACTCTTGTTAACTCCTCATCTCTTGCTCTACGGCAGTCTGTGTCTGTGTGGGGTTTTGGAGGTCGAGTGGAAATGACTGTTTCCAAGTTCATGGCAATTCAGGAGGCCCTGCAGCCAGATTGGTTCCAGTGCCTCTCGGATGGAGGGGCATCTTGTGCAGAAGCAACTTCCATAAAAAGGGCCAGGAAGTCTGTGGACCGGTCACTTCTGTTCTTGGACAGCTGTTTGCGACTACAGGAAGAGTCTGAGGTGAGGCTGCCGGATTGCTGTGGAATGCTCACCTCCCGTCTGCAGCAGGATGGATGCACCGTGGCTGTTCCCCACCTACTTCTCTAGTCCTTGCGCCTCTGCTTTACATGATCCTGTTTCCTTTGCTGAACCCCAGGAAGTTGGCTTCTCTGGGATTCCATCTTAGGCTCTTTCATCCCCAAGCTACCTTCCCTTAGTTATCTTTACTTTTATTTTAAGATTTGTCCTTTTATTTTATGTATGAGAGTACACCATCATTGTCCCCAGACCCACTAGAAGAGGGCATCAGATCCTATTACTAATGGTTGTAAGCCACTATGTGGGTGCTGGGAATTGAACATAGGACCTCTGGAAGAGCAGTCGGTGCTCTTAACTGCTGAGCCATCTCTCCAGCACCGCCTTCCCTTAGTTTTAATTATTTGGTGAATAATTTTAGAAATGTATGTAGTGTCAACTTCCTTTTCTTACCTTGAGAGTTAGAACTGCCTACGTACTGAGCTAAGCTAAGTTGTGGCTGTAGAATGTCTCCTCAAGTCTACTCCTCCCCAGTACTTTACCTCAGCTTACAACATTCACCAGATCCCATAGCCCAGGAACATAAGCATTTTAAGACTTGCTGACCATGCGCCTTTCTATCCAACTGTATATTCCTCCCTGACTCCATCCCTTTAAATATACCTTGAGTTTGCCTCTTCCCGCTTCCTCTTGTACCCAGTCTCTCGTGTCGGTGGTTGCCTTCAAGCTGTTTTAGCTTCCCCCGTTCTCAGCTCTGCTTTCCAAGAGATCACTGTAAAGCATGGATGTGAGCCCACTGCGTGCCTTCCTGGAGAATTCAGTGATTGTTCACTTCAGCTTTCACAGTCTACTATACCTGGCATGCTCATCATGGACTGCCTTTTGCCATGATGGGCAGTCGGGCCTTTCTGAATGATTTTGCAGCTCTCTAAAGCATTTATTTGTTTCACTTTGGGCCACCTAAAGCCAAGTACTTTTTCCTGGATTTTTGTTTGTTTGTTCGTTTTTGTTTTTAAATTTCCAGGCATATTTTCTCTCTTGCTTCTGTTAGTATCCTTTTACTTACTATCAGTTTGTGAAACTGTCCCTGATAGTTCCGGGAAGTCCCAGTCATCCTGGGCTACTCTTTTAATTTATATGTGCTATCCTATGGCCCTGGCCATACGCTGTGCGCTGACTCCTTATGCATTTGCTTTTAAGCTGTGGTGTCCATAAGCTCCGGTTTTTGGTGCTGTTTTGTATCTTTATTAAATAGCCGAGTGTCCAACATAGCAAGCCAGGAGTGGAGGGTTATGAAGTGATGAGGAGGGAGTTGTTAGGTAAGGCCCTGGTGAAGGATGCGTTCCTTAGTAGAGAGCAGAGGAGGCAAGGAAGCTAAGGTAGTGATCAGTCAGACTTGGTGGCTCATTCCTGTAGTGCTAGCACTCAGGCACATGGGATACTGAGGCAGAAGGATCATGAATTCGAGGCCAGCTAGGCTATCTAGAGACACCTTGTCTGGAAAAAGACTAATGGTGATCAGTGGGACAAAATATGAACATTAGCAATAAAATATAATTTGGCTAGTAAGCTCAATTAGGGGAAACTTCACTACTCTTCTGAACAGAACTCTTTTTGCAGAGGAGTCCAGCATGATGATTTTGCTATGGATCTAGGTGGTAGGTATTGGGTTATTAACCAGGTTTTGTCATATTTGTTAAGGAAAACCGGAGAAAGGGATGTGACAAAGATGATTAGAAAGTCCAAGTGAGGTGAGTCTTGACTACAGGCTCAATAGTCCTCATCTACGTTCTAGCAGTCGGCCTCTTCATTTGTTACTGTGTGTGTTAGTCAAATGTTGGGCCCTTTCTGTATCTCTACTGCCTTGATATTACCAGTAGTGCCTCCTTTCTTAAGGATAGTCCTGGGAGGGGCGGACCTACTTCAGGCTGTGATTGATAGTCCTGGGAGGGGCAGGCCTATGCAGTTGTCTGCTTTGTGCTTCTGGGATACTTCTTCCTCTTTAGTTACTGAATCTTCATCTTTTGTGTTCTTCTTTGTTTTGTTTTTCTTTGGTTTTTTTTTTGGGGGGGGGCGGGGCACAAGGTTTCTCTGTAGCCTTGGCTGTCCTTGAACTTGCTCTGAATACTAGGCTGGTCTCAAACTTAAGAGATCTGCCTGCGTCCTGACTGCTGGGATTAAAGGCTTGATCACCACTGCTCAGCTGTAGATCTTGTTTTTAATACTGTTCAGTACTAAAGCTCTCCAACATTCTGGGCACTTTTTTCCCCACAGATAATCCCTAGGTTGAGGATAGTAAGTGGTGTCTTCCGGGGTGTTGGAACCATGCCAGTGCTACAGGAAGAGAGTGGTGTATTGGCCATGTATGCTGTGGACTCGAGAGAGGGGGAGTGATGGCATCCTGCTCAGCATCTACTGAAGTAGTGTGGGCACTCTGACTTGTATCACACATACCTATAACTTGCTGTTTGTGTAGTGGCTAAAAGTCGCCATTTGTACATCCCAGTGATGAGTACTCCAAACAGAATAATCATCACATCCTCACTGTTGTAGAGTTACTTCCTGTCTTTGCTTTTGGCACCAACAGTAGTGTTGATCCCACTCCTGTCCTGTTGTCAAATGTTGCCTTTCCTCTTCATCACACTAGGATTGCCTTAGTCCAGGTCCTGCCATCCTTACCAAGATTAGGAAAGCTGTCTGTACCCTCTCCTGAACCGTAATCATCCCTAAATTACTCTACACTAAACAAGACAAATAATCTGCTTGTCCTTGTGCTTACCTTAAGGAGCCCCCTTACAGTACCCCAGATTCCTTCCCCATAGAGCCATGTGTGATTTGTGTGTCTCCTGCAGGGCTCATCTTTACAGTCGCCTATGTATGTTTAGTTCATAGGCAGGCGTATCTGCAGTACAGTAGTGTAATCATCATGTGTTCAGCATCATTGCTTGTATTAGTAGTTCTCCTTTGGTCTTTTTAAAACAGCTGCTTAGGAAGTTGTACTGTTCTTACTTCAGTCTCTCAATTAGGTTTTTCATTATTCTATATATCTTTGTAAACGTACCTTGATACATATGAATCAGTATATTTATAAGAGAGCTTGTTAGTTAAATTTTATGACTCAAAGATAAAGTGTTGGCATTTTGATAAACACTGCCTACTTGCCCCCATTGTAGTTTCTCTGTTGCTGTGACAAAACATCACTAAGGCACAAAAGAAAACATCTTACAAAAGAAAGTCTCTAATTGGCCTTACTGTTTCAGAGTTCGTGGTGGTAGGAACAGCTAAGAATGCATATCTTGATTGCAAACAGGAGGCAGTAAGAACACACTGGGGATGGCATGGGCTTTCGAAACTTTAAACCCACTCTCAGTGACAACACTTCCTCCAACAAGGCTACACTTCCCAGGCCTTCCCAAACAGCCACTAAGTGTGAACCAAGTATTCAAATGCCTGAGAGTTATGGGGGACAGCTCATTCAAATGACCACCGCCTGCTAAAAGCTGAAGTAATGTTTGCTCTGGTTGTCTGGGTATAGTAATGCTATTTCCCCACACTTCTGACTCACTGTCGTCTCTGTTAAGTGGTTTGCTACTGAGGTGAGGCTCTCATTGCTCCCTGCCTGTACTTCATACCTAGTGATGCAGTGGCTCTGTGCATTCAGAGCACCCACATTTATTTTTCTGAGTTTCATTTTTTTAGGTTCTATATATTTCTTGGTGGGGGAGGAAACTTTTTGTTTTTCAAGAAGTTTCTGGAGCTTTTTCTATTGTATTAGCTGTTCCTCCAAAGAGTAAGTTCTTTGCCTATGTTATGGTATGTTGCATGCCATAACCTTGAGAAGGTCTGAAGTCTTCTGTTGATGCAGGCCAGCCATTTCCCATGAGCCTTTGCCTTGCCTAGGAAGGCCCTCCTTATATACACACAATAAAAAGTTAAAAATACAGTTGTCTCTAATGTTTGTATGACTAATTTTTATGTTTAGATACTTTGGTTCTTTGAAGATGGGAGCAGGAATCTTTATTGCTTTTCAAAATGTATAGTCCAGTTGTCATAGTTCAACTACCTCTTAAGTTCCTAACGTTGCCTGTGGTGGAGAGATGTGGAGGCCTAATGAGTCCTCTAAACTAAAGCTCTTCTTTTGTATCTTCTCAGAGAGAAGATTCTCACATTTTTACAATGTGTTCTTTGGAACTTTAACAGTTCTTTGGGTGTACCATTCCCCATAGACATTTTTTCTGTAGCACCTTCAGTGAGCTCTTTCTGTCCGTTGGACTTCCATGTAAAGCTCATGCAAACAGAAAGTCTCAGGTTCTTGCAATGGTTAAAAACATTCAATTCTTTCTTCTCTCAGGTCCTTCAGAAAAGTATGATCATTGGAGTGATTGAAGGTGGAGATGTGATGGAAGAGAGGTTGAGGTCGGCACGAGAGACAGCCAAACGACCCGTCGGGGGCTTCCTGCTGGATGGCTTTCAAGGGAATCCAGCAGTCACAGAAACCAGACTGCACTTGCTGTCATCAGTCACTGCAGAGCTGCCAGAGGACAAACCAAGGCCAGTGCTGAGTTGGGATGCAGCCAGGCTTGTGGGAGGTGGACAGAGGTGCTGGTGACAGTGTGATGCAGGGTCTCCTCAGGGTGTCCTTTTTGTGACTTGATTATGTCCTCCTGTCTTAATTCTTGGCCAGCTCGGAAATTTCCATCGAGGCTGCTACCCTGATTTCAGAATGTAGAGGGGGATAACTGGCACAGATTAGTTTATTTGATCCTCATCACTAGGGCAAATGTTACCCTCTGTTCTCTCATCCTTGAGCCAAATACTGCTTTTTACTCATGGTAACATGGTGCCTGGAGACAAAAGTAAAGTCATGTTGCATTCTAGTGTAAATCAAGGCATGTAGGTGTCTGAGGTGCCTAGTGGGATGATGATATGCTCTGTCAATAAGAACCTTCAACAAGTCCGCTTTTGTGACAATGAGTGGTGTTGCTTTGTTTTGTTTGTTCATTTAATTGGTGTGACTAGTGGGGTTGGTTCTTTTGTGTACATATATCTTAAGAGTACTGCAACGGTAACAAGAGATGACCCCTTCAACACTAGTACCTAAATGTATTTCTGCTTCAGTGGAGTCTTGTATATTTCAAGCTGGCCTCCAAGTTGCTATGGATCCTCCAGCCTCTGCCTCTTGAGAGCTGAGATTACAGGTGTGTGCCATTGCTCCTGGTCTGTGCAGTGCTGGGAATGGAGCCCACAGCTCTGTGCGTCCTAGGCCAGCCAGGCACAGAAAGAGCTACTGTGTGATCTCACCCTTGTGGAACCTGAAATCCATCTCCTTGAAGGCTGGGAAGAGTGGGAGCAAGGGGGTGGGCCAGATGTTGGTCAAAGAATGATAATTGTAGTCAGAAGGAAGGGTATGCTCAGTGGGCTTCTTGTGCAGTCTAATGACAGGCTTGTGAGGATGATGTTGTATTGAAAACTGAACAGAATGGGAATTAAGTGTTGCCACCAGAAAAATGGTGATTGTGTGAGATAGCCCATTTGTTATTTGGTTACATTTACCCCTTCATAGTGTACACAAACTCCAAAAGACATTGTTTATGAAAAATAAATATAATTGTATATGTCAAAAAAAAAGATTTTCAGTCTTTTATCCTTAATATGAATATTCTTGCCTTTTTACCTGTGATATGAGAAACTTGGCTCTGAGATGCTACTTTGTTCTCAAGGGCTATTAGACAGGACAGACGTGAAATCTTACTACTTTTTGAAAGTCAGATATAATTACATGCAGTGAAGTACAGGTGTCTTAGTGATAGCTTAGAGAATCACCCTTGTGCACACTGGGTGTGAAGATCCCCTAGAAACAGGGTCTTGCAGCCATCCTATCAGCCTTACATGCACACACACACACACACACACACACACACACACACGCACACACGCACCCCTGTGTGTACGTGTGTGTGTGTGTGTGTGTGTGTGTGTGTGTGTAACCCTTTGCTGTGCCCACTCACTGTGCTACAGATGAACGACTCAGCATGAGCTTTTCTGTCATTTTCTGGACTTTCTTGTGCTAAGTGTTCACAGATGTCTCTTTCTGAATTTGAAAGCCGGGATTGTTTTTCTCTAAGTGTGTAGAGATGCCAGCTTCAGTTGGAGTGGAGTTCTAAAACCTCACAGGAATTGAAGGAGGCTGTAGTCAGGAAAGCTGGCATACACTTAAGGGTTCTGCTTGTTTAATATTACATAAGTCCTCTTTTAAAAAAATTCCTTTAAAGAATAAAAAAGTATGAAAGCTTTTCTTCTCTAATTCATGAAAAGGTCTATGGGTAGAAAAGCAAACATTGAAATAAATAGTTGCTGCCAGGCAGTCCTGATGATGTCCCTCTCCATGTCTTGTTTTCATGGCAAAACCTTCTGGAAAGTTATTAATGCTCCCAGATGCCTTAGCCCTTGCCTTGGCGGACACCATTTCATTTCCTAGTGCAGACTTCTCATTAACAAAGAAAACATGAAGAAAGCCAGCTAGAGTCTTGGATCCTGGAGTCAGTGCTGAAATTCTGAGAGCGAGATGAACTATTAAATGAGTCTGCACAGTACAGTAAAGGGGGCATAGCTGATGGTGAAATGAGCCAATTGTGTTCTTCTAAAACCGTCTGTGCAGCGTTTAGATGGCTGGAAAGTGGAGTCTGTGACCATGGAGGTGGATCAAAGGTGGGGATGGAACATACTAGAAGTGATACCGTTTGCTTTTTACCTGCCCCTCAGGACGAGTTTGTGGAGATCTTGATCATTGCTCCTGTTTTGAAGTGAGACAGTGAGAATCAGGATGTAAAGGGACTGTCCAAAGCAACACAGCCGCTCAGTAACCAGCCTGGGTGGCAAGCTTATGTCCCTTTCTTTCCAGCCCTGAGCCCTGCCTCACGTCCAGGCTCACGCCTCTCCCCTGAGCTTGCTTGTTGTTCTTTGTGAGGTTGTTTTTAATGTCCCGTTGACTTGGAAGCATCCTCTGCTTTCATCTGGCCACTGCCTCATGTCGCTGTTCCCATTGTTGTCTTTACAGGCTCATCTGCGGTGTCAGCCGGCCAGACGAAGTGCTCGAGTGTATTGAAAGAGGAGTGGACTTATTTGAGAGTTTTTTCCCATATCAAGTGACTGAGCGGGGCTGCGCCCTGACTTTTACCTTTGATTGCCAGCTGAATCCTGAAGAGACATGTGGGTCTTCTGAAGTTTACCTTTTGTTTCTCCTATTTCCTATGAATTTTTTCCCAAGTCACAAGACAGAAGTGTGAACACACAGCACCAGCCTTTCATGAAGGTCAATGTTGAGTTCTTTGTGACCCCTTGGATCTTGGCACTAGAGCAAGACTGTATGTGTGGGTCATCAATATTAGGATGTGATTTTTATGGTGAACAAAAGCAAGACCTCCTCTATTCACAGCCTGACAAAAAGAAAATTCAGAGTGAATTGTGATGAAAATCTAAGGAAAGGAAATCTTTGAACATTTTAGTAAAGTCAGTTTGTTTTTATTCACAAAAGAGTTCTTGTCTCCCTTCTGCAAGCCCCATGCAATTAACTCACAGGGAGACTCACCATCGGGCCTTGTGTTGCCTTCTACTTTCTTGGGTTGTTTTTTTCATACTGAGATATAAAAGCTACTTTCTTCTGCTAATATTGCTTTGAAGCACTGCCATTTTCTTCTAATGTTTAGTTGTTTCAAAGTCGGGACAAGCAGTGTCAGATTCTGACACACAAATGGTAGAGGAAAGGGACCCAGGACACAGACCACGGGCCAGTTCCCTTGAAGCATGGCTCAGGGATGTGTACAGGGTTTCTCTGTGTAGCCCTGGCTGTCCTGGAACTCACTCTGTAGACCAGGTTGGCCTTGAACTCAGAAATCCGCCTGCCTCTGCCTCCCAAGTTTTGGGATTAAAGGCGTGCGCCACCACTGCCCGGCCACTCTTCCGTTTTCTTCTCTCACTTTCTTCACAACTCTTTAATCATGCCTGTGTCTGTGTGTACTATGAAATCTGTGGAATGTTACCTAGTGAAGATTTCAGGGGAAATTGTCAGCTCTTCCCCTAAGTGACAAGGATTTTCCAAAATGCCAGACTTGATTATGTTTCATCTCAGCATACAGTTCGTGTACTCTGTACTCAGCGCTGTGTCACTTACTAAAGTTACCCTTCCAGAACCATCTGCCTATCTGAAGTCTACACTGATTGCTATCATTTCTTTTTTGAAGACCTCTATTTTGCTGGTCTTCCTCATGCAGTTAAGGGAATATTCCTCCATTAAGCTAGGAGCTTAAGGACAAAGTGTGGGTTCCTTGGACAGAGTCTCCACAGAAGACATAAATTAGTGTTCTGCATTAATCTACTTGGAATATGGGCTGTCATGAAGCCCAGTTTATATACGTGTCCATTGTGATAAGTCATAGGGATAATTCCCTTGGGTTTTTTTTTTTTTTAATCGTTCTTTTATGGCAAGATTATACGTCATGTGCTTGGATCTGTGATTAGCTTGGACTTGGCTAGATTTCATCAGTTGTCTTGGTGGTGTACATAATAGTCTTGGCCATCCAGGAATGCACTGCTATTTCTCTTAGGTGATTTCTTTAGGATAATTCTAAGAGTGGACTTAGGGGGTTAAAAGGTTGTGAAATTATAACTAGAATAAAATTTTTCTAGTGTTCCTCCTTATCTGATTTTAATTCAAGACTTTTTATTGGTTTTTCTTCAGTATTGCAACAAAATGGAATCCAAGAAGAAATAAAATGCTTGGATCAAATAAAGAAAATTAAAGCAACTGGGTGCAACCAAGAGATGATGTCATTTGAAATTAATCTGAAGGAGAAAAAGTAAGACTTTTTTTTGAAGTTTAGATTTGGTTTCTGACTTTTTAATTTCAGTCTGTCTTAAGTTTATGTAACTGTTCCCTTTTCAGTTTATGACTTCGTAAAATATTTATAGTTGGACATTACTTAGGCCTTCTCAAATATGGTTCCAGAAAACCTTTTCTTCCTCTGCAGATGCCTTTGGGTACTTGGTCTTGTCAGAACACTAAGCTAGATTAGATAACTATTGCTTTAGGAAAGCTGTCAGAAAGCGGCCACTCTGTTGCTGGACATTTTTATTCTTATTACTTTTAATAGGGACAGAACAAAATAAGGATTGCAAAGTCAAAGATGGTGGAGCGTGTATGAAGAGCTTAAGTCCCCTTGACTATATACAAGTTATAAATCAGTTATCAATGAAGGATGAACTGAGGGGCCCGGGCCAGTCCACCTTCAGTCCCCAGCACTTAGGCAGAGGCAGGGAGATCTGTGAGACTGAGATCAGCCTGATCTATAGAGCAAGTTCCTATACAGCTGGAGCTATATAGGAAATCTTGTCTCAAAAACGAAACGCTAAGAAGGATGACGTGAGTTGCCTTGTAACTTTGCATTTGACCAAAAGTGGTAGCCATCGGCCTCAGAGCATGGTTTCTCTGTGTGTACAATACTCACTGGTATGTTTGGTTTATACAAGGAGATATTTGAGGGCTTCTGACTTATTCACGGCCGTCTGATAATAGTATAGACCTGAGAACTTATGAAAGAATGTAAAACTCATACTTACTGTTTACAGCCTATTATTCCTTGATTGTGCCTCTGAAGTGGTAATATCTACATCATTTAATATTTTTTTTGAAAGTTGACAAGACTACTCTTTCAAGCAAATATTAGGGTAATATAAATGTTTACTACTAAGCTAGCTTTTGAATTGTAGCTCTAATTGGAAATTATAGTATGCTTATTCTTATTGCTAGATTGAACTTTGGGGACAAATCCTTGTACTGTATTTGACTCTGTGACCTCAAAAAAGTCACACATACCTTAGTAGGTGATTAAAAGTAACACAAAAATAAGATTAGTGTTAGATTAATAGCCATCAGGGTTAATCCTTGTAGCTCATTTAATAACCTTACAATAAAGTTAGGTAGGCTTTTAATATCTTCTAGTAAGAAATGAGAAACAAGCACAGGTGGTTGTTTACAGGCATGCCCAGTTGTGTTATAGAGCCCAGACTCCATACCCCAGGCAACGCTTCCCACAAGAGCCTTCCCTCTGAGTATATAGTAGTAGTCTACATCCAGAGAACATGTAGAGATTGGCTAGGACCTTGCGTGTGTGAGAGCTTTGTAACGCTCTCTACATCATGGAGGTTGTGCCATGGCTGCTAAGGCTAGTACTCATGAGTGGGAGAGAAACATCGTTTGCCAGAAGAGCATTTCCTAGTATCATGTGCTTTTGCACTGGCTCTGGTAATGCTGAGGGTGGATGAGTGACCACTGTGAATTTCTTAGCCTCCAGACTTGTGAGGTTGTGTCTGTTACAGCACCCCTTGAGCCTTGCCCAGCAAGACTGTTATTACCGTTAGTAACCTCTCCAGTAGAATAGGTAGCCTGGGTTCTAGATTTCGTATAGTCTTCACTTCCTGATTCTCTCTGACTTCTCTCAGGTACCAGGAAGACTTTCACCCGCTTGTAAGAGGGTGCTCCTGTTACTGCTGTAAGAACCACACTCGTGCATACATCCACCATCTGCTGGTGACCAATGAGCTGCTGGCTGGTGTCCTCCTTATGATGCACAACTTTGAGCACTACTTCAGATTTTTCTGCTCCATCCGAGAAGCACTAAAGAATGACACACTAGCACAGCTGAAAGAACTCATCTGCAGACAAATGTCTTGAGAACTGGAAAGTATAAGCCTGTCTCATCTCCAGAAACAGTGAAGTGGCAGAGATCTGAGCTTTCGGCAGTTATGGTGGGACCAATGGCACACACTGCCCACAGGGGTATGGAAGAAGGCCTTCTGCAGATGTCATGGACCAGATTGATCAGAACTGTGACTTTAAATTTTTAGGTTAAAAATCTAGGTTTATCCTACTAGTGGCTAGATTCCTTGAGTTGAAGACAAAAGTACTAGTTCTGAAAGAAGTCTCTTGAAAGAAGTCTCCTTGAAAGGCTTTGAGGTTCTAGAAACCCGTGAGATGTTGAAGCCTGAGTAGAGATGACTGTCATAGCTGGAGGCACAGCTGTTCCCTGGAAAACAAATCTAGCCAGTTCCACAGGGGGTTGTTTGTTTCTCCTCATGCTCTCAGGGGCTTTGGGGCACACTTTTGTCCTCGGGGCTACCACAGCAGGACAGTCACTCAGAAGGTTTCTCCTGCCTTAACCATGTTCATCTCTCCGAGGACTATGGGGTGCCAATCATGCTTTTGTGATCTGTTGACTTCATTTGGCTACAAGTCTCTTTGTGACTTGTCTTCTGAAGCCACCATACTTGCCTGTTAGGAACCAAATATTGCCTGGCTGCTTTGTCTGGTTGTGCAGATCCAGCATGACATGCTCCAGGCTCATAAACTGTCTGTGTAGTGACCAGCTCTGTCATTTGGGGAGATTCCTTTGCTATGTGTTTATGTGGCCAGAATCCTGGCCTGAAAGCACAGCAGATCAGTTTCTGTTCCACTCTGCTGTAAGCTTAGGCAAATCCTGACTTTCTGAGTAAACGGGGAAGGCATAGCAGGTAGAAGCAAAATGTTCAGAGTCTCCGTCCTCACTTACTAATCACTGTTGGCCCGACCCTTTCTCAAAACTAACTAACACTCTCTCTCTCTCTCTCTCTCTCTCTCTCTCTCTCTCTCTCTCTCTCTCTCTCTCTCTCCCCCCCTCTTTCTGTTTTTTTTTTTTTTTTTTTTTTTTTTTTTTTTATGCAGCTATAAGTGTGTCCTGTGGATTTTGAAGTGGTTGGTGATTTGGCATTCTGCAGACCCTAAGGCTGGCTGTCCCTCCTTGGTTCTCTGTAATTCTGTATTTTTGTTGATGGCATGACAGGGCTTTTTGTTGTATGTATCTTTTCTATATTTATCAATTTTTCTAAGGATTATACAAAACATATATATATATGTAGTTTTTATAAAAATAATACAATTTAAAAGATTCATCTTTGTATATATAAGAAATGCATTTCTTACATTTTATTGGTTTTCAATTTATAGTGGACATTACTGAACATTGTATGTAGTAATTATGTAGTTACTTTATTTTTATGTGTTGGAAATCCAATGTTGTTTTTCCTTTTTGTGGTATCACTTCTTGACGAATGCAAGGGATTCATAGAATGCAGACACAGAGACAGGGTTTCTGTTCTCAATAATCTACATTGAATGTATTTTGTACTTGTTTATATGTTTTATTCTTGGTCAAGACCAAACCCATTATTGAAGGATTATTAGTAAATATCTAAGAATCCATGTAAATTTATGAGTTTTATTTATGTCCAAAACACTGAAAATTCTATTAAACATTGTTCAGTTCCCTGGGTCTTTTTCTTATTAGTACATTTGAAAAAATTCTTTCCTTTTATGTTGTAAATGTATGAAGGGCAACAGCCAATAAACATTTTTAATTAAAAAAAAAACCACTGTATACTGTTTTTTTGTAAATGGTAGTATATCTACTAAAGTATTAAATTTCCATGACACAGGGACTGTCCTAAAGATTGCTCAGGGGGAAAAGACTTGTGTCAGATTTTTATCATTTGTGTTTATTAAATAAAGAATTTTAAGGAATTTGAAGGAATGTTGTTACCCAATATTCGTTACCTGCTTCTCTATATAGGTAGTGGATAAAAAGCTATGCTAGTGCATAAAAGGCAAGTTCACACTCTCTGGAGTACTTTTTGGGTTCTTTTCTTCTTTAGTCTGGGTTTCTCTATGTAGCCCTGGCTGCCCTAGAACTCACTGTAGAGCAGGCTGTTCTCAAACTCTGCCTGTCTCTGCCTCCCAAGAGCTGGGACTAAAAGCATGGGGCCCTGCTGCACGGAGTTCTCTCCTTCCACGGGGTAGGTTCTAGGGATCAAGCTCAGGTTGTCAGGTTTGGCAAGTGCCTTTACTTGCTGAGTCACTGCAGTGCCCCCCTTTGGAGCATTGTGCCAGACAACTTAGCCCATGCTTCCATAGCTCATTGATCTTTGAGGACCCATTATCCCAGTGAACTGAGGCTTAGGAAAAAAATCACTTCAGCCTGACTGAAGGTCTACCAAAAATGACTGCACTTCTCAGCTTCCAGGTTAAATTCTAGCTCCCCATAGGTAAAGCACAACTGTTCCACTGCACCAAATTCTTACGAGTAGGCAGGTGTCGTGGCGCCTGCCTGTAATTCCAGCACTCGAGATGGGAATGGAAAGATTATGAGTTCAGGACCACCCTGACTCAAAACTCCCTCCTCATCCTCCTTCCATGTTGCTTTGAGTTGCTTCTGAGTTGAAGATACTGAGAGAGTCAGGACTGAATTGATTGGACTATCCCAGTGGGCAGAGTTGGCCTGACAGACGTACCCAGAGTACCATGCTAGTACCTATACATGTTCAAAATGAACTGTCAGTATCCCCCAGCTAGCTATACCCTGAAGATGAAAAGTTTGAGTTTCTGATTATCTCAAATGAATGTCAAAGGAGACTGAGGTTCTTATATATTTTGGAGATAGAGATACTTTATTTTTCTCTGGAGCAAAGAGAAAACATTTTTTAAAAAAGCCATTACTATAATTAAATATATATATAATTAAAGCCATTTAATAAAAAGTTCAAACCAAGATCATCAAAGGGTCTAGACTAGAATGGGACAAGACTGTCTTATCGGAAATTATTTTCCTTTGTAGGCAGCGTGAGGCTAACTGAGAAATGGAGTTAAATCATTATCCTGTGCCTCCCTGATTAGGCTCTCCTTGGTTTGATTAGTCCTGCTTGTCACTATGGACTTTCAGCTTATTAAAACTGGCACTGCTGTGTGTGTAGGTCAGGGAGCCTAGAAGGTCACACTTAACACACAGAGCAGCCCTGAGCAAGGAAGGTTATGCTTGATATATTTGGTAGAATTGGTGTTCATTTGATTTAGTTATTTGTATTTGTGTACACACACACACACACACACACACACACACGACACACACACAGAACAAATGTGCAGGTTAGAGGACAATTTGGAGGGGGGGGTTGGCTCTCCTTCCCCCACATGGGTTCCAGGGCTCAAACCCAGGTCATCAGGCTTGGTAGCCCCTGAGCCACCTCACCAGCCCTGCCACTTATTTGCAATATTTGAATTTGAACATTTGAATAGCTTGGACGTCACATGTCCATTTTATACTTCATCTCTCTCTTCTCCATCAGGTTACAATTGGGAAGACAAATCCCACATAACAGGGTGCAAAGAAAACTGAAGCGAGTTTAATACAAGCAATGTAACAGGGAAGTCATGTGTCCTTATTGGCTGTAACAGCCATGGTTTGTGCCTGTGGTCCAGGTAATTATTAGTGGCACCCCCTTCACCCTCAGAAGTGCCCTAATTTGGACAAGTTAAATGCGCACACAAATAGAAGTGACAGAGGTGACCAAGCTGGAGAGCAGGTGGCCGTCTAGGCAGCGCAGCTGCTCCGCACATCTTGCTAATTGCTGCCGAGTCCACTGCCACCACATATCCCAGTCTTTCAAGAGAAGCCAAAAATCTGGGTCCTCACACTTTTTAAATGTTGCAGCAATTAAAAAAGGACTTTGCTCTCTGAACTTAATTTAGAGGTGCCTAATTTGCAAGCTGTGGCTTAACATCTACAAAGGTGGCTTTAGCATCTCTCTTTCTCTCTCTCTCCCACTCCCTCCCTCCCTCCACCTCCCTACCCCCAATGTGTGTATATATGCATGATGAAGAGGCAAGATGGCTTAGTGGTTGCACTTGCTGCACAAAGCTTGGCGATCTGAATTCAATCACCAGGACTCACATGAAGATGGAAGGGAGAGCTGGCTCTACAAAGTTGCCCTCCGGCCTCCGCACTCACGTAACCAGTCTTCTACCCAACAATGTATATATGCAGACAGACATTTTTTTTTTTTTTGAGAAGAGATAAACCCTTGTGTGAGGGGGGGCTGGAGATGTAGCTCACTTGATAGTACTTACCTGACTTGCATGGGCCTCCATCCCATCACCTAATAGAATGGAACATGGTGGCTCCCATCAGTAATTCCAGCACTTGAAAGGCATATCACAAGTTCAAGGTCACCTTCAGCTACATAATGAACTCTAGGCCAGTCTGGAGTACATGAAACCCTGTCTTCTCAGAGTGCAGAAGGTCACTCATTAAAGTCCTCAGGCCTTGTTCTCCATTGCCCTGTCCCCAGATAGGAACAAATCACCTTTGCTCAACCTATTTTTGTAGATGGCTTTATGTTTTAACAGTGAAAGGCCAGCAGCTGGTGTCCTTTCCTCTTACAGTCATCTTAGTCTACTTAGGTAGCTATAACAAAGAACCAGAGATTGGATGGTTTATAAACAAATATCTTCCTCATTGTCTGGAGACCAGAAGTCTTGAGATTAGTGTGGCAGCATAGTTGGGTTCTGTTGCTGTTAAGCTAGGTGCTCAAAGGAACAGTCCTTGGCCAGAATCTCCACACAAAAGACATAAATAAAAACCATGTTTTATGTTAATCTTCCTGGAATATGGGCTGTCACGTATGGGATTCTCTTCTGGATTCCCAAGGGATTGTCTTATGTGGTCATATAATAGACCTCTCTGGGGTCTCTTTTATAAGGACACTAATCCCATTCATGGGGACTGTACCATCATGCCCTAGTAACCTAAATTACCTTCCAATACTCCCACCTCATATGGCATCAGAGGTGATGCAAGCATCCTGCTCAAGAGGACTTACACATGCACACATTCTTTCTGGTTACCATGTTGGCTCTCTTTGCATCAGAACTCCTGTTTTGGTTAAGCCTGTGCCCTTCCGGGGTCAGCATCCATTTTCTAGGATTTACTTTCTGGCTTTTCAAAACCAGCTGGTCCAATCACATTAAGCATCCAGCTACACCTCCCAGCGTCAGCCCTGGCAGGCACACTGACAACCCAATTATTGTTCATCAAGTGAGCAAACCTCCTCAGAAACACTCTTATCTTGAGAGTTTAGCTTACCATGCTGTTTAGGGGTGACGGGGAGAACCGTGCACACTAGGACCTATGCACAGTGTCATCTGGTCAATGGTAGTTCCATCTCACGTTATGCTAGGTGAGCTTCCAGTGACCGACATGTCGTCATTGTTACTGTTTTTCTGTTACTCGGTTCCACTTCCTATCACTACCACCTTTTAGACCTGACCTCAAAGCATTTCCCCCTGCTCTGGGGAGAGGGACTCACAGTGAACTTTCTTTTGTTCTCCTTCCTCAAGATCCATTTTTTGAGGCCCAGCTGAAGTTGCCAAGGAGTTCAAATAGCCCCCGTGCTCCCACCAGTACGATTCAGGGGGATTAACCATCCTTTCTCCACCCTTTTCCAAGAGCTCGCCTTTTTCCCTGAGCAATTCTCTCCCGCTGTCTGCTGCTTTGTCTGTGAAACACATTTTCTCTTATTATCACCTTGTTCCCTGCATGCTTCGGATGGCTTCAGCTCATCTCTTAACAGAATCAAGATGTTGCTATTAACGATCTTCTCTCTCTTAACAGCTTAGAGTCGTTTCTTTATATTTAGTCCTCTCCCCTCTCCAAACCACATAATCATCTCTGCTTCAAATAAAGTTTTATAGCCATTTCATAACCATGGCTTTATAGTTGCTATCAAAAAGGCACAGGAAGAGGGGATAAAAGAAGCAAAGGGAGAGAAAATAAATAAAAGGTGAAGGGATGAGCGTTATTCCAGTCATTGAGGAACCGGGCCAGCATCTTCAGGACTCCTCTTCGAAGGAATCCAGGCGACCTTAGTCCTTAAGCTTATGAACTGCAATCTTGGTGGTCTGGCAAAGCTTTCCTTTAACTTTTATGGATAGATAGGAAGGTGGTCTCTCTCTCTGAGGACCTGTTTCCCTTCCAAATAATTAAAATACTGCCTTAGAATTCTCCCAACATCAGTCACGTTGGCCATAAATCCTTTTACAGAATCCAATTACATGATAGATAAGAGTTTTGCAAATCATGCCCCCCCCACAGCTAAAATATTTACCCATATTTCCTAGCATTTTCTATTCCCTTCTCATTTATTTTTATTTTCATTTAGCAAACTTAAATAACATTTCCATCACAATTCCATTTATTGTTCCCCACGATGCCAGCTGAAGAAAATACAAACGATGCAAATAAACTCCGTTCCCACATAGTAATTAGACAACAAACAAGAAGAGAGTGGCTGAGTGTTCAATTTTTTGTCTTTCCTAAACTCTTTATCTGATTTTGGTTAGACTCTCCAATTTCACGTTGTTTTTTTGTTTTAAAAAAGTCTCTTCCAGTCATGTAGAAAAAGATCAGTTCTACTTTATTTTTGCACTTGAATATTCAGCCACTGTACCACAGATCCAATATGCCCAAAGCCAGACTTAGTATCTGTTTCCCTTCATTCACACAAGTTCTCCACTTCAACTTCTTGCCC